GGTTTAATCTCAGGTAGCCAGACTCAGCCTTCCATCCTTGTGAGTTCGGTAAATTGAGAACCCAGCTCGGGAAAGGAGCAATGTATAATCTGCATAATTAAATTGCAAACTGCCCAAAGGGTTCTTTGAGCTGTAGGGTGCTGTATAAGCATCACACTTTTCTTTTCTTTTCTTTTAACAGCTTTCTCTTTAGTGTGGGCTATTCTTACAAAGATTTTATATTTAAAAATTTCATAAATAGGCCAAATATTTTTATATGCTGTTATGAATGAAACATTTCATATTATGACAATTGTAAAAGAAGTTCATAAGTTCAGGTTTGGTTTGAAAATAAGTATTGCTTATGTATTCATCATTCCCATAATCCTCCCTCTCTGCGCTTAAAAAAATTGATTTCTTTCTGTGGTTTCAAAATTCTAAAAAAAAAATGGCATGTACAGCTTCAGTCAGATACTCCCTTTTATGCACAAAGGCTTACATTGCTTTCTTGAAGCAAGAAATGAAAACTAGGAAGACTTCTTCTGCCTCTTCCTTCCATTACACTTCAAAGGTGGTAGAAGGACGAAACAAGAGAACACATCTGAAAACAATTCCACTTTCTTGTAGGTCAATGACAGACGTATCCTTGATGGGATGTTTGCAGTTTGTGGTGTTCCAGATAGCAAATTCCGGACCATTTGCTCTACTGTGGACAAGCTAGACAAAGTAAGGACCAAGCATGAAAATGGCATCCCCAGAAGCAGATCATGTGGATGCATTAAAAGCAACAACAGAACATAGCTATATTGTGCGCTCTCTCTCTCTCTCTCTCTGACACACACCAAACACAACACAAAGAGAGAGAGAATGCCCAACTTTTGTGACAGTGTTGTGCTACACTGCCTGAATGTTTTGCCTCCACCTCAAAGGTGAAGTAAACAAACTTACATTGTTGTCTTCCCTCCAAACCTATGTCAAAGATGGTTTGGCAGTTCTGGATGGGGAGGGTGAGGCTTTTTCTGTGTTGTTGACCACTGCAACTAAGGTAAGAGAACACAGGGAAAATGCAGGAAGATATATATTCCCCTGGGGAATTCAAATTGCTAACCGTTGGTAGGCAAAGAGGCTGCTTCTTTGTAGCTCTTTCACCCCAATGGTTAGAGTAAATATAAAACTTTAAAGTGTTCTGATCAGCACCAAATTTGACACAGTTGTAGCCAACAGTCTGCTCTTGCTTTGTGGCAAATTTAGGGAGGTTTGGGCAAAGATTTTTTTTTATTTATGATGTTTTAAAAAGGAACCCCAGCTACTTCAGATTTAAAATAGCTCACACAAATTGAAGAAGACCCAGTCTTGCTCATCTTGAAAGAGAATTGTTGGAAAGAGCAGATGTGTATGGAGAGAGGTGATTTTGACTTTAAATTTCAGATCTTAGATTCTTTTATTTTCTTGTCATCTTCATTAGAAACATTCCCTTTGCTGAATCATGGTACCAACTGAACTTGATCTTTGCTGCTGCTCTTGATTTTTAATCTGGATGCTGGCAATGTTCCAAGCACAAAATGATGGTCCATAAATTCTGGTACTGAAGAGGATGTATACCTTTTTAACAATCCCTTCTTTACTTTAACATTACACATTAGCTGCTTGTTAATAGCTATAGTACATATTTTTTAATCTGGATGCTGGCAATGTTCCAAGCACAAAATGATGGTCCATAAATTCTGGTACTGAAGAGGATGTATACCTTTTTAACAATCCCTTCTTTACTTTAATATTACACATTAGCTTATTGTTAATAGCTATAGTACATGCTTCTTTATACCATTCATTTACTTAAAAATCATTTCATTTTCCAATAGTTAGCTATCATTAACCTTGCTGCTGTTAATAAATTGGAAATTTACTCTCTAGTTGACCCATTCATTACATTGCTTCTTGTCAACTATTGATAAAAGTACTATTTTAGGACATACCTCTAGATTTTGCTTATTTATCTCCTTTATTTCCATAAAAAACCAACTGACAATATTTCAGTATGTTCTTGCATTCTTACTGCATATGAAAATAAGTACCAGTTTTCTGGCATCCTCTCCAACACAACTTAGAATAAGTCTTACTTATTTGATTTAATTTCACCTAAGTTAAATACCATCTCCAAACTAGCATATAAAATTCAAAAATTTAAGTCTAATTCTAATGATTCCACATCCCACCTGTAATATTCCCATGTATGGATCCGAAGACAGGACAGTCAATAAAGCAGTGGGGAAATTGATTCATTTTAAATGTATTGTTGGAGAAGAGTTTCATGAATATCAGAGTTAGCCAGAAATACAGATAAAAATGGGGCCTAGATAAAAGCAAATTTCCCTAGAACCAAAAATGATTAAACTGAGCCTCTTGTACTGTTGCCACATCATGAGAAGACAAGTCTCCCCGGAAACGTCAGTAATTTTAGGAAAAGTTTATGGCAGGGGGAAGCGAGGACTCCCAAACATAAGATGAATGGACTCAGTAAAGGATATCACAACTCCTAGTTTGCAAGATCTGATCAAGGATTTTAATGATGGGCAGTTTTGGAGGTTATTAATTCATAGGGTCACCATAAGTCAGAAGTGACCTGACAGTGCATAACACCAAAGCAGATTTATTTATGTGTAGGTTCAACAGGATAGCACTGCCTTTCATGGCGAGGTCCAAACAGTTGTGCACTGATAGCAGCTATCCATCTCAGCTCTGGATCAGATCACACTTGTACAGTCAGATGGTTTCAGAATAATCTCATCACTGACTGCATTCAAGAAGTTTGCAGATGTCTGAGAGAAACAGGAAAGAGCCATGATGTTTTAGTTTTTTCAACCATACAGATAGCGTCTGATTGTGATGCAGAAATTTGTCACAATATGCTGAATGGCTTAAACAGAATATATGCATTTGCAATATTGATTTACAACTCTTAATATGGGGGGGGAGGGGTGATCTCAGTCTCCCTATTAGGAAAATTCAAATAAATAACCACATCAACATTCCTGATAAATGTATAAGAGAAATTGAATCACACTGATATAACCACCGCTGGTTCCTGGAACAACAGTGGGGAGACCAAGACTTCTTGCTACCCTGTGGTAGATGATGGAAAGTACATGACCACAACACCAAGAGATGCATTTGGTTGTACCAAAATGGCCTCTCTCTCTTTCCCTCCCTCCCCCTCCACACACATCCTTTTTGAAACGAATAGTTAAGGAAATTAGATGTGCATGTGTTGTTAAAGCCACCTTTTCTCCCACCTGCCATCTCTTCAGCTAATGAGTCTGGGACAGTTACTCTGATCCACCGAGCCAAAGGTGAAAATCTGAAACCTCTGAGTTGATTCTGGAACTATGGGGGTTTTTTGCCAGCTCTGTAATGCTAACCTAATGAAGACTTCTATGGAATTAACAGATAGCATCTGTTTGTAAGATCTTAATGGTCTTATAAAGGTATCATGCACCCTGTCTTCTCTTGCCTTTTAATTGCATCTTGTTAAAACAAGCTTGACTGAAACGTTCAAGGATTGTGCAATGTATTCTGCCTCTTCACTTGAGGCCAGATTGTTTATAAATACAGTATATATAGATAGATTCCATGGAGCCAAAGTAAAACTAGAGGGGAGGGAAATGATGCTGATGTGTCCCAAGATACTACAGATGGTAAAAATATTGTGTAAATTATGTCTCATGAAAGCACATGAGTCAACATAGTTCTCATCCTGTCTACAGATGAGTTGGGAGGATGTGAAAAGTGAGATGGTTGGAGAGAAAGGACTCGCGCCAGAGATTGCAGATAGTATTGGTGAATATGTAAAGCTCCATGGTGAGTAGGACAGCAGGTGCCAGCCCTGTGCTAAGGCAGTCAGGCTGAGATATCTCATGTGTATGCTGTGCATTTAGCTACTAACAAAGATGCCATGTATAATAAGTGGCATGGAATGGGATGCCTTTCCATACTAATTGTTCTTCTGTTGCAGAAGTTGTGCATTTCCACAGGGAGAGAGGGTGTAGATATGCTTCCCATTTTCTCACTTTTTATGTATTTAAAAGTGAACATTCACAAACTAGGCAGAATGTGGAGTCCGGAAGCAGACAGGTTTCCAGGTTCTTCTGTTTCCTTTGAGACCACGATGTCTGACATCGCCATTGGTCTCTAATACTGATTGGACGCTCCACATGTTTTCCCTGGCATTGTCTTGGCCTTTCGTGCTGAAGCATATACCTTCCTAAGAGCATTTGGGGGGAAAGTTGCGGGATGAGGAAAAAGTAGCTGGTCTGTCTTCTCAGTAGTCTGATTTATAATAGTTGTCGAACCTTTTTTTACTGTGTTAGTGTAATAAATTTTTGGACCGCAGGTTGTATTTGTATGGGAAAGAGGGGCAACTGCAGCCCTACAGACATTTCTGGACTGCAGCTCCTTTAATCACTCACTGTTTGGATATAAAAATATCTACTCCAGTTTTCCTATTCAGCATTTAGCACCAAGTATATTCCTTTAAAAACAACACACAGAGAATTGCATTGGCTGAGGAAAAGGGAATGGAAATTGTAGCCGGATGTTAGATGGAAGAGGTCTTCAAGGAGTGTCACGGATGCATTTTCACAAAGGGCTTATGCCCTGCTTTTGCCATCTGTTTAGGTGGGCTGAGTCTGATTGAACAGTTGCTCCAGGATCCTAAGCTATCACAGAACAAGCTGGCTAAGGAAGGCCTGGGAGAAATGAAGCAGCTGTTTGAGTACTTGGCCCTTTTTGGCATTTCAGATCAGGTAAGTGAGGCATAGGCTATTCCTTGCCCTTTTCATCATATGGATTTCAGTATTTCTGTTTGCTAATTAGCTTCCCAAACTTTTTCACAGACGTCTTTTGACTTGAGCCTGGCTCGTGGTCTGGATTACTACACTGGGGTAATCTATGAAGCTGTCCTCCTCCAGCAGCAAAAGAATGACCATATGGAGGAGTCTGTTGGTGTGGGCAGTGTAGCTGGAGGAGGCCGCTACGATGGACTGGTAGGAATGTTTGACCCCAAGGGGCGGAAGGTGCCTTGTGTGGGAGTCAGCATTGGCATTGAGCGGATTTTCTCCATCATGGAACAAAAACTAGAGGTAAGGGCCGTTGTTTGTCCCCCCCCCTTTCCAAGGACTGCTTGCAGTCAGATATTCAGCTGCTCATAACCAATAGTTACTAACAATAGTTACTGACTCCACCGGATTTTATTTTATGTGGCTATAACTTTCATAGTTTTGTAACTGCTCTGTTTCATTCCATTAGAGAGACTTTTTAGGTCGGCAGCAACCATGTAACTCAATAGCCTACTCACCTAAGGTGTTGATAAGTACGTCCATAATTCAAACTGTCTGAGGTTACCTCGTAACCATAGTTGGTACATTGAAGTTTAATATGAATAAAAAGTAACAATTGCATAACCATGAAAATTCTTCCTTTACATCCATGTTAGTGTGGCTGGGAGCCAAATTAAGCTTCTGTCTATTTTCCAATGGAAGTGAGAATTTGTGGTATAATGTTATCAGCAGATACAAAGTCTGAATCAGGTAGTATCTGTTGAGAAAGGCTACTGTATTGTCAAAGGGGGTAGAATAAGTAACCACATGAAATCGCATATATCTAGGTCCCAAGCCCAAGATGGAAACTAGTACTAAGGATGTATTGTCTTCTTCCTCTCATCAAGAGCTATGAGAAGGGAGGCAATGCCTTTGGATGGAGACAGAAAACCAGTCAGCTCCTCAGACTTCTCCTTTTGTGTAGTAGATACATTGTTAGGCTCTTGTATCAGAAGAATGATTGTCTTTCCAATCATCTTCCCCCTCTACTCAGCACTGATTTGGCCTCACCTTGATTCCTGTGTCCAGTTCTGGACACCACACTTCAAGGAGGGTGCTAACAAATTGGAACAAGTGCAGAAGACAGAAAACCAGTCAGCTCCTCAGACTTCTCCTTTTGTGTAGTAGATACATTGTTAGGCTCTTGTATCAGAAGAATGATTGTCTTTCCAATCATCTTCCCCCTCTACTCAGCACTGATTTGGCCTCACCTTGATTCCTGTGTCCAGTTCTGGACACCACACTTCAAGGAGGATGCTAACAAGTTGGAACAAGTGCAGAGGAGGACTACAAGGATGATCAGGGGGCTGGAAACCAAGAGGAAAGGCTGAAAGAACTGTGCATGTTTAGCCTTGAGAAAAGAAGGCTGAAGGGTGATATGATAACAGTTTTCAAATACTTGAAAGAGTGTCCTACAGAAGAGGGACAAGATCTGTTCTCGATCATCCCAGGGTGCAGGACATGCAACAATGGGCTCAAGTTAAAGGAAGCCACATTTTGGTTGAATATCAGGAAAAACCTCCTAACTGTTAGAGGAATACAACAGTGGAATCAGTTACCTTGGGAGTTGGTGAGTGCTCCAACACTGGAGGCATTCAATAAAAACTTAGATAATCCCCTGGCAGATATGCTTTGATTGTATTCCTGTGTTGAGCAGGGGGTTGGACTGGATGGCCTTGTAGGCCCCTTCCAGCTTCACTTTTCTATCATTCTATGATCTTTCCCAAAACTTTTATTTCTGCCTTCAGGCTTCTGAGGAGAAGATCCGGACAACAGAGACCCAGGTGCTTGTGGCATCTGCCCAGAAGAAACTCCTTGAAGAGAGGCTGAAGCTTGTGTCTGAGCTGTGGGATTCAGGGATCAAGGTGCAACTCCATCATATCAGGGTCATGCCAGGAATGGTGCTACATAGACTGGGTCTTACTCTATCTTTGCAGTTCAGTAGGAAGGAGGAAGAGCAATAAGGGCAATTTGGTCCCAGTCTTCAAATAACTGAACCCAAACTGTTAGGTACCACTTTGGTCTTCCTTATTATACTGCTAGCATTAATTTAATTTATGCAAGGTTGGTATAACTCCAGTGGTGAAGATGGGGGCGGGGTTAGCAAGCCAACAGCATCTGGAGGGCCACTGTTGCCCAGCCCTGCTTTCTTTAGGACACACTGAACTGTTGCACAGCACCAGTCCTGAAGCAACTATATTGGCTTCCAGATTGTTTCTGGGCTAATTCGGAGATCCTGATTTTGATCTGTTAAGTCCTAAACAGTTTGGGGCCAGAATATTCAAAGACCACCTCATTTCAACACACCATGACTAATTCTGTCCCACCTTATTTGAAAACATAGTACCCAGCAGCTACAGAGACATACATACAGCCTTCAGAGATGGCAGGAGCCTGGATTTAGCATAATCTAAATTAAATTTAAATGTTAAGGGACCACCATGTTTTGGAAAAAGATGGTCTTGGAAGTCCAGCCTCTGTGGGCATTGCACTAGTCATGCCATATTCCTGGCACTTAGGAGCATCAGTCCATCTGCCAGCAAAAAGTAACATTATAGATGCCTGCCATTGATATCCAAGATTCTGGGGTAAAGGCAGCACATTGGGTGGGCCTGATGTGTCTCATGAACTGACAGTGTGTCCTGCTGGATTACTGGACTGAATTGGGAGGGGACAGACTTAACTTGCACAGAAGATTCGACCCTTACCATTCTTCTCCTTTTAAGAAACTCATACATTTCCATGAACCACTGCAAAGGGATAGTAGGGTTTTATCTCTGTCTCTGCCTGCTAACCTTTTCTCTGCTTTGTGCTTTGTTTTCTAGGCAGAAATGCTGTATAAGAAAAATCCCAAGTTACTGAGCCAGTTCCAGTACTGTGAAGAAACAGGAATCCCTCTTGTTGCCATTATAGGAGAGCAAGAGTTGAAGGATGGAGTAGTCAAACTGCGTGATGTTGCTACAAGAGGCGAGGTGTGGACATCACTTTTTAAAATAGACACAGACAGACAGACAGACAGACAGACATAAAATATTGCAGAGGGGAGAAATTTAATAGTTGTTCCATTAAGAACAGGAACGGTCTAAACTGAACAGCATAAAACAATACACGTGCATAGAACAGTTCAAATGTTGAAAATCAATGCCTTTTTATACTAGTTCAGCATAAACATTGGTGTGCACTATTCAGAGGTAATAGAAAGGAATCTTGGCTGTCAGATTTATTTCACTGTGATCTCTTATGAATCAAAAACCACTACTTCAGACACAAGGCTGTGTCTTTTTCTCCTCCCCCTTTATTTTTTCCAACACAGTTCTGATTTCATTTTCCTTTCATAGCAGTTCTGCTAAGTGAGGCTGAGAGACAGTGAGCATCCTCAGTAAGCCTTACTAGTTCTTAGATCTAGTTCATAACCCAGCCAGTGCACCATAATATTTACCCTTGTTTTAAGCTGATAGCTCTTGTTGATTTTTGCACTATCAGGAGGGCTAGTGCTGTTTGTTTGTGCTCAAGGTTTCAGATACAGGAGCCAAGATGTCTAGGGTTAGGAAAGTCTGGAATAAGGTGTGTATGTAATTTAGTAGTTGAAAGAGGTACTTTAATCACCCTTCTTTTCCTTGTAGTAGTTTTTATAGTAGCTTCAGATTGCATTCTCCTTTGGGCAGCAGCTGAATTAAAGGAAGGAAATCGAAAAGCTGCATGAAAGGAAAAAGTGTAGGTGTCAATATGCATTGGGTTTTTTTCTCTTATCCTACAATGTATGGCCAAGATCTAAAGAATGGTACAAGTTCCATTTGCTTGAGTATGGAAGAAGCAACCTCTAGGACTCTGACCTATATGAACTACCTAACTTTTAGATATACAGGTAAGGATCAGGTACACAGCTTGGGTGATCTGTTGGACCCAGCTCTCTCTGTGGTGGCATGAATACCTGCTGTGGCCAAAAGTGCCTTCCATCAACTTCAGATGACTGCCATGGCCCTTTCCCTTTGGAATAAACTTCTAGCAGAGGCTTGTTTTTAGGAAATTAGTAAAAACTGTATATTTGAAAGCTGCCCTTTATTAACTTCCTGAGATGCACAAATCTGTTTTAGCTTGTTTCATGTTATTGAAAGTTGGGTTTTAGCTAGGGCCAGAGTTTTATCTATCTAAGTATCAGTTGTTGGGTATTTGTTGTATTTGTGTGTTTTTAATGTGTTTGTGAAGGAAACAGCAGCTATGGAGTTAATATCAAGTTCTTAAAACTTTTAAAATGTCTAAGGTGAACCAGAGGAGCTTGCATATTTTGGGAACGGTGGAAAACAGCCCCCGCTGTTATTAGTCTAGAGATAGCATTGGAGAAGGCATGATGACCTTGGTTGAGCTTGGAATGGAGCTAATTTAAACAACTAATATAGCTAGGGCCAATTTAAAAAGATGCAAAGTGATTGGTAGAGTCCTTGGAACTGTGGACGGCAGGATGATGGGATTTAAGGAAGGTAGCTAGTTAGAATCACCATCGTCGTGGATGGTCATCATGACTTAGCATGCTCACACTGTGCTGTATTTTATATGCTATGGAGAACTCTCTATGTGCATGCAAGTATAGTGTAGGTAGATTAGTCTTTATTGTTTTAAGTGGGAAAAGTCCCGTCATGCCTTGAGCTCGGTGAAGTCTGCATGTCTTATCTGATGATGCTTTTTCTAATCACTGCTGAATTATTGGAACTTTTCTTATGCTTTACCATTTTCTGCTTTTTAATAAACTTCTAATATTTTACTCAAGCTGTGATTCATTTAAACAGGTGTGAGAGGTTGAATGTACTAATCCAGTGTTGGAAGGTGCTCACAAGTTTTGAAACATTTTTGGGTTCTTTGAGTTTTATGTAGGGTTGGTTTGCAACCAGGAGCAACAACCTACTTATGTGTATCTTCCCTGAACACCCAGGAGTAAGTGACTCAAAGTATGCTAGGGTAGAACAGGCCACAGGAGGCATTTCCCAACCAGCAGTGCACTGACCCCCTGGACGTAACCCATCCAGGCAGAAGAAGGGCTGTGTGACTAAGTGATGAGAGGACCCCTCTGTGTAACCCAGGTGTAAAAACCTTCATGGTGTTGTAAACTGCCCAGAGAGTATACAAACTGGAATAGTAAATAAATTTTGGAAAAATATGAACAGGGTTGGCAGCTTCCTCTTTCTGTGGCTCTTATCTGCCCACATTCAAAAAAAGTATTGAAAAAACAATTGTGTAGTAAAAGTCATGTGTAGCTTTGAATGGTATCTCATATGACATATGTAACTATGGATTTACCATCCTTTCAAAATTAAAGGGATCTGCTTCAAATTGGTCAAAACACTGCAAGTGTCCTTTTAGATGAAAATCAGAAAAGGCAGTTAGAGGAGTAACTTTAACGACACAGAGAAAAAATGTGGTGTGCAATATTCAGAGGTTCTAGGAGAGTGATATATATTTCAATAAGGGAGTTGAAAGGAATGTTTTGCTATGTTTAATCTCATTTCTGTTTTGCAGGTGGATATTTGCAGAGGAAAACTTGTTGAGGAAATCAAGAGAAGAACGTGTCTTCCCTAGAGATCTTCTTTCCAAAGATTTTGTCATGTCCTTTATAGGAACGACAAACTGCTCTTTCTTATAAAACACCCTCCAGTTGCGGTGGGGGGATGTTCCTCTAAATTGTATTTATTTCACTGTGATCCTTCTTCTTGTTAAGATTGAGCAGTGATGCAATATAATTTTTTTAAAAAATCAGATCACTCCTGGAAAGGAATTTAAAAGAACCTTTCTGGGAGGATTCTAGAGGATGTCATTTGGTATGTGAGCATTTTGGAGCTCATGCAACACTTATTCACAGTGGCAGTGTCAAAGCTGATGTCTCCAGAATTTTGGTCCACACACACTTTATTCTAACTTAATGTTATTTAAAAATTTGGCCATTCTAATAAAGCTTATCTCTACCCCATGCTTTCTGTTTGGCTCATATTTTCCTTTCCATTTAACAGAAGAAATATGTTGAACAGCTACTATTGCATCTCTCTAAATTCAGGTAGCATATTTGATCCTTTAATAAGGGGGAGAGACTCTAGGTCCCAGAATTCTCAGGAAGTTCCACTGCCAGACCCACACCTAGGAGAATGGCCTGGCTAGAAGTCATCATGGAAAGGAAGTTGCACTGATTGATGCTTGCTGGGAATTCTGAAACTCGGGGTTTAAAGCAAAAAGCGTGCTGCTTATATACCACTGCTTATATACCACTTCAAGCACTCACTGGGCAGTTTACAAGTTAATTATGCAGTTTACATAATCCCCCCCCCCCAGGTGAGCTGGGTATTCATTTTACCGACCTTGGAAGGATAGAAGGCTGAGTCAACCTTGAGCCGGCTACCTGGGATTGAACCCCAGGTCGTGAGCACATTTTGGTTGCAGTACAGCAGCTTAACCACTGCGCCACAAGGCTCTTAAAGAAACAAACCAAATGGCACATCGCTAGTAAAAATGTTGAAGGCCAAAGGCTATAAATGGCCAGCTCCAGTTACCAGAGTTATTCTTTATGTCAAAGCGCTGCCAGTCCTGAAAATTCCTTCCTCGGGTGACAGTTTGGTGTGGGAAGCCCAAAAGAGTTCAAGGTAAAGGTAAAGGTTCCCCTTGACAATTTTTGTCCAGTCGTGTCCGACTCTAGGGGGCGGCGCTCATCCCGCTCTTCAAGCCATAGAGCCAGCGTTTGTCCGAAGACAATCTTTCCGTGGTCACATGGCCAGTGGGATTTAGACACGGAACGCTGTTTACCTTCCCACCGAGATGGTACCTATTTATCTACTCGCATTTGCATGCTTTCGAACCACTAGGTTGGCGGGAGCTGGGACAAGCAACGGGCGCTCACTCCGTCGCGTGGATTCGATCTTACGACTGCTTGGTCTTCTGTCCCTGCAGCACAGGCTTCTGCGGTTTAGCTCACAGCGCCACCACGTCCAGCCTGCCACAAAATCAAGGCTAGTGTTGTTTGCTCCTACTTACATAATGACAGATGTCTGACATAAAACATCCTGACCTCTTTCAGAGCCAATTAATACATCAAATTAGCTCACAGCGCCACCACGTCCAGCCTGCCACAAAATCAAGGCTAGTGTTGTTTGCTCCTACTTACATAATGACAGATGTCTGACATAAAACATCCTGACCTCTTTCAGAGCCAGGGGGAGAGTGTGAGCTGCACACTTTAATACATCAAATTCATTGTGCTGAATGCAGTTCATTTTAAGTAAAAGAAACAACAATCTTTGCAAGGTATAAATAACATCTTGCAGAGATTCATGGCCATGCTGAGTATATTCCAGGAAGAAACATGCAGGCAGAAGAACTCCAGCAAAGATTTCTTTGCTGCTAACTGACCGAATTCCTCATTGAAAAAAAGAGGCAATGTGGATTGAATGGTTGAAACTAGACAGCAAATGTAAAACATGAATTAAAACAAGCAACACTCTATATTAACAGTTATAAATGGCCACTGTAAAGGAAAAAAGCATGAGGTCAGAGGACAGTAGAAATCAAGATACTACACCTATATCCTTGTTCATTTTTTAAATAACATTGCTTGCATATTTATGTCAGATTCATTGGTATCAATTTGGAAACTAATTGCCTAAAGTTAAGTCATCACAGAACATGTCAGTTACACATACTCAGTTGTGTGACTCAGCATGCAATTGATAATGGCTGCAGCAATATCTTAACTTGGAGCAGTTTGTCTCTGAAAGTGTAACCATTTGTGTAGCTACACAAGATGGTTTTGGACATTTTAATTGCAGTTTTGCAAGCCCAATGTTAGATTAGTAAAGTGTGTTGTATAACTGTAGGAGGTTTCAAAGACAACTTATCCACACACACTCCCTTATATTTTCTTTTTCTCCATGGGGATGAGGTCTCCAACTGCTTCTCAATATGTATTTTACCTATAAAGGTGAGATCTACATCAGTGGTTCACAACCTTCTGTAATCCAAGTGTTCTTGGAATGCAGTTCCCACTAGCTGTGCTGGCCAGGGTTTCTGGGAGTTGCAATCCACAAATACTTGGGCTACCCAAGGTTGGGAACTGCTGATCTACATGGATGGTTAAATAGATAAAGTCAGATGCACCCATATACCTGTACTTTTAACCCATTAGGTAAAGGTTCCCCTTGACATTTAGTCAGTCGTGTCCAACTCTAGGGGGCGGTGCTCATCCCCGTTTCCAAGCCGTAGAGTCAGCGTTTGTCCAAAGACAGTTTCCGTTGTCACGTGGCCAGCGCGGCTATACACGGAACGCTGTTTACCTTCCCACCGAGATGGTACCTATTTATCTACTCGCATTTGCATGCTTTCGAACTGCTAGGTTGGCGAGGAGCTGCGACAAAGCGACAGGAGCTCACTCCGTTGCGTGGATTCGATCTTACGACTGCTGGTCTTCTGACCCTGCAGCACACAAAGGCTTCTGCGGTTTAGCCCGCAGTGCCACCACGTCCCTTTTTAACCCATTAACTATAATCAATTGCTCTTCAACATGCTGAGAGGGAAGGGCCCTCTGTAGTTATTTTCCCCTCACATCTGGAGCAACATCTGTGGAGAAGGGATTCCCATTCACATGCTCTCCAGGTAAGCTGCTATCCAAATTCTCCAGTGTTCCTGCTTGCACAGAGAACTTACATATAAGCAGAAGCCTCTTAGCAGACATATTGCTCTACACTCAGAGAAAGCAGTGACAGACAGGGCAGGGGCTAGGCTCTCCCATCTAAACGTGCTGGAAGGGAACTGGGTAAAGTAAAGACTCAATAGGGTTACAGTCTTCATGAGGCATCCAGTGAGTGAGAGGTACTTTTATGTGTTAATTGCATCTGTATCTGCTCTTCCTGTTGTGCAAAGGGTCACGTATACTCCAGACTCTGTCCCTGGCATTTTGATTGAAAGGTCTTGAGCAGGGGAAATGGGAAATGTCTCTCTGGGAACCCTGGAGAGACATTGCCTTTAAGGGAGCAAGAAATATATATGGCCTCTCTAAGAAGAAGAAGAGACAGCTGCTTCTATTCATCCAGTGAGTGGTCCCAGGGAGACAACATACAGAGCCAATCCTGTCAAGCACAGCAGCAGTGCTATATCTAAAATAATTGCATTCACTGATCTTTTTAACCAAATTGTGATTCATACAAATCTTACTCTTTGTGAGATTAAAGAAATCCATATTCTATTCTGCATCTATTCTGGGCTGTGGGGAGCTCAGTGGTGCTGGAGAGGCAAACATCCCAAAATTGCCTCCCACAGCACCTAGAAGGCACACATGGACTTTCTAAGCCATTTTTAAAACAATGATAATTAAAAATTGAGGTCATTTTGGGCACAGTTTGCTCATCTGGCCTGAAACCGTCCCCCCACCTCTCATTGCCTATGCCTAAGAGGCCACTAAACACAAGACCTTCTTCCTCCACAGGGCTGTGCAGCCCCAGCAGAGCCGAAGGGCAGGGGAAAAAAAGGGTGGTTACCTCCCTTCTGTCTCCCCAACCTTCACCCCAATGTTTTTCCTTCACGCTGGTATCACAACCCCTACTGCCTCCTTACTCATGAGTAAACCAGGTAAACCTTACACAAAAGTAAACAAGATATACCTTACACATGGGTAAACCAACAATCCAAAGACCAAGCATGAATTGATAGATCTGTCAACTGCAAGATAAACTAGATTGCAGTGAAAATAAGAACCTTTAAAGACCAGACCACTCCAAATTTCTCCATCTGGACACATTCTGAACTGAGTTCACTAGCACTTATTCCCGAGCAAGTAAGTGTGCAGCCGGAGTATTGAATCCAGACAAAGGGTAAATCAGTTAAAGTCAAAGAAAGTTAGACTACATCTCATTGATTTCACAGAATTAAATCTTAACTTAGTCATTAAACTTACTTAGTGACAAAAAAAGAGAGTGAGAGAAAAGCCAGATTGTCCTTGTACACAATCTGAAAGCAAGGATAGGCAATACTTTATTAAACCACTAATATTTCACTAACAGGCAAACCTTTGAGTCCTACGGAGATCTTCATCAAGATGAACATTACAAAGAGGGGGGAATCCCCAAATTCCCCATGGCCACATATTGAGACCAGTGTCAGAAAATGTAGCCATGTTAGTTTGTGCTTAACATACCAAAAACAAACAAAAACTAAAAGAAGGCAAAAAGTTTTGGCACTTTAAGGACAAACTGCTATATTTTAATGTGAGCTTTCATGGACAAGTCCACTTCTTCAGACTTTGAGACCAATTAAGTTCCAAAACAGAGACAGCTTCAGGTAGTCAACTTCAGGTTTCACCTCCGGAGGTGAAGGTTTCATTGTCTTCTCACTCTTGATAGACAAGAGTGAGAAGCATCTTTCCCACAGCCTCCAACAAAACTGGTAACAGAGGCACACAGATTGAATGGTCTTGAGCAGGGGAAATGAGAAAGACATTTAACACCTAGTTTACACATTAGGCAAGACACAATCAAGTGCAGCCAAATTAATATTACCCAGTGGCTGAAGAGAAAGTGTAGACCCCAGTTCTTCTTAGGCAATGGCAAATCACCTTGGCGGCTTTAACAGAGTTGCTATCTCCGAGTTTAACTTTAGAGCAAGAAAGATAATGCAAAAAAGAAAAGAAAAAAAAGAAATGGGGATATTTTCATTTTAAGTTTGTTGGAGGAAGCCTGGGAAGGTGACACAATACATGAGCTATTTTCCCAAATCTGTGTACTCTATTTTCTCATAAGGCTTTGTATATCAAAACCATCCAAGTACTATCATCACATCTAGTACCCATTTTCCTGAATTCAATGATGATGATGATGCGCTAATTCCAACTCAGGGCAAACTCCCCAGGGTTTTCTAAGGACAAAGCATTCAGATGTAGTTTACCAGTCCTTCCTTCTGGCGGCACTCTGGAACTATGCAGCTTGCCCAAGGCCACCGAGGTGGCAAGGCACTTAAATCTATCAGCTACACATGATCTGAATGATGTTGGCTGCCCTCTCCTGGGAGGCACAATAGAGATTCAGATTCCCAACCCAGACACTCCAAGCTAGACAATCCACTGCAATCCACAAGACCAAAGCAATTTGCACAGATTGAACAGAAGGATGGACCATTATGGCAGTATTATCACGTACATAAGAGGATACTGGGAATGCCAGGCTTGCTCCAGATAAATGATTGAGCCCAGACCTCTGCTGATGCTAAGTGATGTACAATAGAACTCCAACACAGCATGTGGAGGACTATCAATGAAAGGATGTAGAAATCAGATTGACTACATTAAGACTGCACTCTCAAATCTGCATTGCTTCTACAAGGACTCCTCCTTCTCAAAGTACTAATGAATTACAGATTACCTCTATCCATAGACTGAGACATATCCATTACATACCTATCACTGTCATAGCAATTTTTTAAAAAAACATTTGCGCAGAAATCCTAATTATTTTATATGGCATGTAATCAAATCTTCTGCAGTCATGTATCCCATCAGTAACTGTTGATTTTACTGAACTGTGAAAATCATAAACCCCGCACTTAATAGCATCAGTTCTTGAGGTCCCCCCTCAAGAAGCTTCAGACTACCTCTTAGCCTACTGATTGCATTTTAAAAACACAAATCTGTGGTTAAAATGCCATCTTAATATGAAAACATGGCTCCAACCAACCACTTTTTTCTCCTCAAAGTGTTCTCTTCCACGGTTTTCGGTACAGTGCCTACAACAACAGCCCATGGGGTTATTTCAGTGACCACTACAGAGGCCAGTTTAACCCTGTGATGCAGTGGTTCAACTGCAGTCCTGCAATCAAGCCTCTGTTCACCGCCTAAGTTTGATCTCAATGGGTTCAGGTGGCCGGCACATAGTTGACTCAGCCTTCCATCCTTCTGATTTTTGGTAAATTGACAAGATATTGCTTGCAAAATTATGTTGTAAACTGCCCAGAGAGTGTTCTTGGACTATGGAGTGGTATATAAGTTGAAACAACCACAAAAATTCAGATAGCCACTTTGGCATAGTGGATGGACCAGTGGTTCGCAATCAGATGTTCTTGGACTTCAGCTCGCAGAAATCCTTGCCAACACAACTAGGAGTGAAGACTTCTGGGCATTTTAGTACTGTATAACATGTCGTCAAATGGCACCCAATTCTTTTCTGTGCCACAATGGAACCACAAACTAAACACAGTACCACAACCCAGGCATAGATCTGTAAAATCAGCACCACCTATTCACACAAGGTGAACTAAACAAAATACACCACCATCCCAAATTCTAAATGGATACTACAGTACTGTAATCAAGATTGTTACCCTGCAGACAGCACTGGTGAAGTATCTTTTGTCAGGAAACTCTTGGTTTTAAAAGCTGTATTTCTCTGTTAGATTTCCAGAGGCAGATCTTCATTAAAACAGTGAACTATTCTGAGCGTAAGCAGGATGACTTCCGTTCAAGAAAGAAACATGGCATGTTAAGTAGTAAGACGTGTCTACTCTCACTCCTACCCTGGCTCCTCATGTCCACAAACCGATTAACGGATAAAACCAGTATTGTTTCAGCCCGCAGGACAAAGTGAGCAATTAAAACCACCTTAGGTCTTCTACACACCCAAGTCTAGAACATGGGAGCGCCAGAAGGGTCCCGCTTCCCCATAGGTCATGAGAAGATGCGTGTCGAACTCGACTCTGGAGAACTAATTTAACTCACACGAAAGCGAATGTAAGACGAAAAGCCCTACGTCCTCCCTTCAACAATACTCCGCCTCCGGCCAAGGATGTTGGGAATACAAGCGGGAGTCCGTCTGCTTGGCCTCACCTTGCTAGGAAAACATTCTCCATCTCCTCTTGACCTCACTTTCCGACCCCGCTCCCTCCAGGCCCAAGAGCCCTTTCTTCCTCCCTCCTTTATACTTCGCTCCCTCGCACGGGCTTCAGAAACGAAACCGAAACGGGCTTCACACCTTTGCACGCACTGAACCGGGCAGGCTCGTTGCGAGACCTGAGGCATGCTCGCCTATTGGCCACGGCGGCTGAAGCTACGAGAGTATCCAATCAGGAGAGGCGAAAACAAACGCCTTGGTTCGGGCGGGCTATAAAAGAAGGCGGCACGTTCCGCCGGGTAGCGCGTGGCTGGAAAGGAGAAGAGGGTGTGTCTGTGTGTTATGGCTACTATGCTGCAGGTAGGCAAGCGTGCATGGCGTGGCTTCCTTAGAAGACGCGTCTAGGTCTTTTGTCGTGCGCGGAATAGCTTTAAATCGTGCTGCTTTTTTTTTTAAAAAAATGGGTTGCGTGGAAAAAATTGTTCTGGGAGCAGTTTTGGCGGCGGTCGACGCTCTTCGTCGCCAACAGCGGGTGGTTTGGGAAGTGTGAAAAAGATGGTCTCCTTCTTGGCTGTTGGTTTTCTCCCCACCCGTCAACCCCGGGAATCGCCTCACCCCTGTTGACTGAAATAAAAAGTGTGGGGGATGAGGCGGTTTAAAAGCTTCACGGTAGAGGAAACAGTGCTGCGGCAATTGCTGGAGTCTCACAAACCCTTCCTGGTGTTCCGAGCTTGCGTTGCGAAGTCCCTCCACTTACACTATTTCTTGTAGAAGCCTTTCTTAGCCCGGAGTCTCCTTTTGGAGTAGGATGGGACCGAGACTCTGTGTGAACAAGCCCCCCCCCTTTTTTTTGTTGCCTCAAATTACTTTGACTTCCTAGGAGACAAACAACTACAAAGTGTCGTGTGGCGCTTGCAAGATGAGCGAGTTTTATTTAGTATGAATTTCTGTGAACTATATGTAGTTCTTTTCTTCAGATCAGACCTCGAAACAAGGGGATTCTGGTCTGCAGAACTCTTGCCAAATGAAAATCGCTAGTCTCAGCTGGCTGGCTAGCTCAGTGGTTTTTGTATCTGGCTGCGGCCAGAGTTTGGGAGATCCAATCCCTACTGTGCTTCCCGTGAGTAAGGAAAGCCTGTGTGGCCTTGAGCAAGGGCATCTCTAGAAGAAGGGGATGGAAAACCACTTCTGAGGACTCTACCTGGAAACCCCTGAAAACAGAGCCCACATCAGCTTTGCATTAACCATTAAGCAAAATAAGCACTTCATCTTTGCATCAACAAGGGAAGGGGGCACCACAGAGTTTTTCTTAGTGCCAGATTTACAATGGACCATGGTACTGTACAAATGGTGCACCCTCCATAACAAACCACATCCATTGCTCATTCTCAGCTCTCTCCCGCAAGACCGCCAAGAAAACCACCTCTCTACCTAAAGTAATTATGTACTAGTAAAAGTAAAAGCTAAAAAGTATAAAGATTTGCTTTGTGAGAACTCATATTTTGAGTCAAATCACCCTCATCATGGTTTGGTCTTTATTTTTACTTCTGTATTTTGGGAGACTGGATAGGGATAAGGATAAAAAGCCTCTGGTCCTTTAGTCCCATTATCTCTGCTCTATATGTGCAAGCCAAAGAAATAACAGCCACTGTTTAAAATGCCCCCAAAGGGATTTTGAGCTCTTGTTTGAGCTTTTTAGTTTACAGATTGACAAAATTTCTCTACATTAATCAAAGCATGAAAGCACAAGATTTGGCTGGAAGTCGCTCATTTGATTGTATTAATGATTTTGCAAACAATATATGGTTCTTTTTTTGCCATACAATTAAATTACAACATTTTCATGCATAAAATGTCTGTGTTATGTTTTTTTAAAGCCATGGGAGCCACTGTGTGTTATATTCATAGAGGGCAACATTACCTTTTCTGTGTTTAGGTCCTCTAAAGCAGTGGTCCCCAACCTTGGGCCTCCAGATGTTCTTGGACTACAACTCCCAGAAGCCTTCATCACCACCTCTGCTGCCCAGGATTTCTGGGAGTTGAAGTCCAAGAACATCTGGAGGCCCAAGGTTGGAAATCACTGCTCTAAAGGTCTTGATCTAGCTGTGGTTGCCATAAGTCAGAATTGACTTAACTGCACTCAATTGTTGTTTATATTTATTTATTTAAAATATTTTTATCCTGCCAATCAGAGAATACTGTAGTGAAGTTGGAAGGGGCCTACAAGGCCATCAAGTCCAAACCCCTGCTCAGTGCAGGAATAGAAATCAAAGGATATCTGCCAGGTGGTTGTCTAAGCTTCTCTTAAATGCCTCCACTGTTGGAGCGCTCACCACCTCTTGAGGTAATTGATTCCACTGTGTCACTGCTCTAACAGGAAGTTTCTCACTAAGCAAGGTGGCTTACTTCAGTGGTCTCCAACCTTGGGCCTCCAGATGTTCTTGGACTTCGACTCCCAGAAATCCTCGCCAGCAGAGGTGGTGGTGAAGGCTTCTGGAAATTGTAGCCCAAGAACATCTGGAGGCCCACGGTTGGGTACCACTGGCTTACTTGATTTAAAGGCAATGTTAAAACTGAAACAGTAAATATACAAATATTAAAAAGGAACAAATAAAATATCACTCTGAAGATGGTAAACACAAGTAGTACTAAAGAGCTAGTAAGAACAGTAGTGTGGTAATAGTCCATCTAAAAGTCACCCTCATGTAGCCAGTCACTGAGGGAAAGCTTGTCTGAAGAAAAAGGTCTTTTGTCTGCTGGGAGCAGCAACAGAGAAGGCCCTCTGGTGACTCAGTTAAATAGGTATGAGAATTTGATAGTGAAGAAAAAATAAGCACATACTTGGAAAAGTGCTTGGAAAAGTATGTGGAACATTAGAATATTAAGATCTATGTTAATAAGGATAAAATAAACTCTGTAAGTTAATTTAGAGGTGGTACTTTATTCCAGTAAAACAAAATCATATAGTAAGCATTCTAAGAAGTACTGGAAAGGATGCCAGAAAGTAGGTACTTACCTTGATACAGTGGGGTCTTGACTTAAGAACGGCTTGAGTTAAGAACATTTTGACTTAAGAACCACTCTCATAGGAAAATATTGACTTGACTTAAGTACTTAGATTTGAGTTAAGAACTGAAAAAAACCCACGTGGGAGGCAGGGAAAGTGCAAAATGTGAACTTTCAGTTAACTGTTGGCCAGTGAAAAGGGTGCCTGTCTCCTTCCTCACTCCTCCCAGCGTTTAGAGAGTGGATTGGGAGACAGTCTTCGGACTGCCTAGTACTGCCTGGACTGTATTTTCCCTGCCTTCCCTGAACCTTTCTTGACCTAAGGAAAAAAGAAACAAAATATCCCCCTCTAGTGGTCGAAGGCAGAATAGCAGCTTCCCATTAGTTTCTATGGACGGAAAAGAGCAGATACGGATCAAATGGTTTTCAATGCATTCCTATGGGAAATGCAGATTTGACCTGAGAACTTTTTGACTTGAGAACCGCCTTCCAATACGGATTAAGTTCTCAAGTCAAGACCCCACTGTATATGGTGGAAATGTGAGAATACATTTTTAAAGGAAATAAATGAAATAACCAACTTAAACATAGTTGTATGTCCTAAAATAGTATTTTTATCAATATTTGAAAAGGAAGAAAATGCTAGGACTACTAAAGAATTGGTTTCCAATTTGTTGATACTGATAAGATTAATTATAGATAGGAATTGGAAAACAGCTTGTAATTTCCAGTTAAGTGATTACTGTATCCCAAGCTTCCCTTTCGCAGTCTAATCCTCCTCCTCTTACAGTCATGGCCAAAAATATTGGCACCCTTGCAATTCTGTCAGAAAACGCAACCCTTCTCTCAGAAAATTGTTGCAGTTGCAAATGTTCTGGTACTCACATGTTCATTTCCTTGATTTGCATTGGAACAACACAAAAAACTGCTCCAGGGCCTTCACATCTGAAGGATGCCTTCCCCCAACTGCTGTTTTACGATCTCTCCACAGGTGTTCTATGGGATTCATGTCTGGACACATTGCTGGCTATTTCAGAACTCTCCAGCGCTTTGTAACAATTTCTGAGTGCTTTTTGAAGTGTGTTTCAGGTCATTGTCCTGCTGGAGGGCCCATTTCACTGGCCACTATGTTGCGCCCCAATGTGTATATTTTAACTTTTTTTTGTAGTGTTGTCCAGTTTTACCTTGGGGAAGAGCACCTCATTTCGTTGCACCCACTTGTGAGCGCAATGACAAATAAATTTCTTATGTCTTATGTCTTATGTCTTAAAATAGTATTTTTATCAATATTGAAAAGGAAGAAAATGCTAGGACTACTAAAGAATTGGTTTCCAATTTGTTGATACTGATAAGATTAATTATAGATAGGAATTGGAAAACAGCTTGTAATTTCCAGTTAAGTGATTACTGTATCCCAAGCTTCCCTTTCGCAGTCTAATCCTCCTCCTCTTACAGTCATGGCCAAAAATATTGGCACCCTTGCAATTCTGTCAGAAAACGCAACCCTTCTCTCAGAAAATTGTTGCAGTTGCAAATGTTCTGGTACTCACATGTTCATTTCCTTGATTTGCATTGGAACAACACAAAAAACTGCTCCAGGGCCTTCACATCTGAAGGATGCCTTCCCCCAACTGCTGTTTTGCGATCTCTCCACAGGTGTTCTATGGGATTCATGTCTGGACACATTGCTGGCTATTTCAGAACTCTCCAGCGCTTTGTAACAATTTCTGAGTGCTTTTTGAAGTGTGTTTCAGGTCATTGTCCTGCTGGAGGGCCCATTTCACTGGCCACTATGTTGCGCCCCAAAATTCCTTGGTAGTCATCAGATTTCATGATACCGTTCACACAGTAGAGGCATCCAGTGCTAGAAGCAGCAAAGCAACCCCAAAACATATTTCAGCCTCCACCATGTTTGACTGTAGGGACTGTTCTTTTCTTTGAATGCCTCATTTCTTTTTCTGTAAACAGTGCCATGATGTCCTTGACCAAAAAGCTCTACTTTTGTCTCATCTGTCCACAGTACGTTGTCCCAGAAGGATTGTGGTTTTGTCACATAAGTTTTGACATACTCTAGTCTTGCTTTTTTATGCCTTTGTGTCAGCAGTGGTGTCCTCCTAGGTCTCCTTCCATAGTGTCCCTTTTAATTCAGATGGTGACAGCCAGAACAAATTAATTGGGTTTCAGTGCATTACTATGGGAAATGCTGGTTTGACTTCCGAACGTTTTGACTTACAAACACCATTCCGAAATGGATTAAGTTTGTAAGTCAAGGCACCACTGTATTTTCAGGGGATTTTTTTCATGTACAACATTCTACATTTATTCAAATAGTCATGTCATCTTCCTCTGGTTGTTGCACAATGATGGAGGGTGGGGTTTCACTTAACTAGGGCTCATTTTGGGGGTAGGATTTATATTATAAGCATCCTGAAAAATCATACTAAAGCTTATTTTCTGGTTAGGTCTTATTTTCAGGAAAACTGCTTATATATGACAGCAACATGTGCACTAAACACTTTGGATTCTTTAAATATTATATAAATGCTGTTACTGGTAACCTCTGGGTAGTAAGTTGCAATTTAAATTATCTTTTGGGACTCATTACTGGAGGCTGTTGTCCTGCAGCAGTGAAGGGTGTTTGATAGACTGAGGTATGGTGAGCCCAGCTGAATCCATGTTGTGTTTGTAGGTGTCTGCTCAAAAGTGGAGTGAGGAGGTGAATCAGACTAACAAAGCAGCTCTTCTGGCTTGGGTGAAAGAGACAGGAATCCAGTTAGTGCAGATCAATGGCCAGAGAAAATATGGCGGCCCTCCACCAGGTATGTAGAAAATGCTCCTTCTGTATGAAATAGACTTGTGATCCATTGGTGTTAAAACTATTGATATGCAGTTCAGCTGCTGGGCAGTTCTTTTGGTGACAATGTTGGGAGGTGGCATCCTTTTCTAAAAGTCGGCTTCTTATTATCACCAGTAGACACTGATTGCTGCTAATCTTTCCTCGACAAAAGCAATTCTCTCTGAGACACACAGGCACCCAGCTTTCCCTACTGATATTCCAGTTCATAGTTGGTCTACCTGGATCTGAATATAAGTCCATGTGTAGCTGCATGCTAAGTGAGTGCATACTTTCCCTGTGCAATAGGGTATTGTAGGGCTGGGATGGAGAACTCTTTTTTTGTACAGTACTAGAGGCTGAATTCAGATTTGGTTCAGTTGTTGAGTTGTGTTCTGGCGGGCTTACATACAGAGAAAGAAGGCATATCTCAGTTACACACATGCTTACTCATTGTAAACCCCACAATATCAAAAATTTAATGGCCTTAACTTCTGTCCAGAAAGGCAGTCTGTTTATGACTGGAGACCAGAGCAATAACTACCTGTTTGGATACTTTTGCCCATCTACTCAGCCCTTTATCCAAGAAAATAAATGTGGTCCCTCCCTCCCCCCAAAGAAAATGTTTCTGAGGAGAAGTGACAATATGTCCGCCCTCAGGCTTGCCGGACAACAGGCAGCTGTGGCAGGCATGCTGTGTACTCTGTGCCCAAGAAGACAACTGTGGCAACATCAAATGAGGAGGATGTGCTGACCACCACTATCAGCACAGGGTTTCCTAAATGCCTAACTGGGAGGCTCCCCAAAGCCAGACCCCTCAGGAGGGGAATAGTCATGGAATTGTCTGCACTCAGCCTCCCATACAGCGAAATTCAGGGGTACCCAGTGAAACTGATCAACAAAAAGGGTGAAAAGCTGAATACAGGATGTCCTAAAGCACTGGAATGAAAAAAGGCCTTTCCTGTTCCCTCAGCAACACCTTCTCTCCTTATCTTTTTGAGTGATCTCACTCTTCTACAGAGCCACTTGCCTCAGATTTTCCATGTCTTGGCCTTGTTAGATAAGTTAATTATAATATTTTTAACCCACTTTTCTCCTTAAGAAGGGTCCAAGGCAGCTTACATCATTAAAAGACAATATTAAAGCTGAAACAATATGTATGCAATATGTAGCTTTCACATGGCAGTCAGGAATAACATAATGCATGCATACAGTCTTTCTCTTGGTCTCCAGTGACACTCCCTTACACTTGGACATCTTTTATAGTTCTTTCATCACTGCCCTTCCAAGTCTGTCTTCTAATTTAGTGGAAGTCTCCATTTGGATTGATGATTGAACCAAGTTATAAAAATCTGCACTCTCTGACATCTGCTCCCTTACCATGGGCCAAGATCAACTAACACTTTGGGCAGAGCCCCCCCCCTTCTCTTACATCTAGCTGGTCTGGTTAAGCTTATTCAGAGGATATCTAGAATTGTGCATGACTGGCAGGGAAGCCTGGAAAACAGCCTACAAAGTTGTTTTTATAGACAGTTGTCCCAAGGGAGCTGGCTTTTGACAGCCCTCAGAATTGGACATTTTAGGAGCAGAGTTGATGTTGACAGTGTTCAGCAGGTTCTGTGAGGGGAGTACCAGTCATGCCACTACTGCCATAATCTCCTTCCTCTTGGGCATAGAGTGTGCATACCGCAAATGTGCCCATCTTTATCACTGCCTAGTGGGGCAGAGGGCAGCTCCTGTGCCATGGGGTCCTCTTTTCTTTGGCTGTAATCATACATTTTCTTTTTCTTTGGGGGGAGCTGTTGGTGAGTCTCCAATATTGCTAGGGGGAACTCCTTTACTCCTTTCTTCAAGCAAGGGACTGCTTGGCTTGACCCTTTGGAGAACTTCTCTGAAAGTGAAAAGGCCTGGGAGGCAGTGTGTTTACTTCTCCCCCCACACTCACCAGGACGCACAAACACACACCCCGTTAGATTTGATGCCACCTAAATGTGGGTGCCTCAGAGCAGAGCCCAAGTTGCCCCACCCTAGTTATGACCCTTCTGGAGGCAGCAGGTGGAGGGGTTTCCAGCACAGTATTGAAAGAGGAGGTACATGTTGGAGCCTGCAGAAGAAGGTTGGGGTCTAAATAGGAACACCCCCCCCCCAATGGGCTGGAAGTTGGTTGTCTCTGTTCTGCAGGAAGGAAGCTGCCATAAAAAGGATGCTGATAACGATGTCTTCTGCCAGTGACACTCTTTTTTCCTGTTCTTTCCGCAGGCTGGGCTGGCAGTGTCCCACCATCTGGTACAGAGGTTTTCATTGGGAAGATCCCACAGGATATCTATGAAGACAAACTCATTCCTCTTTTCCAAAGTGTAGGGAAACTGTATGAATTTCGCCTCATGATGACGTTCAGTGGCCTTAACAGAGGTTTCGCATATGCCAAATATATGAACCGCCACAGTGCCCAGGAGGCCATTGTTGTGCTCAACAACTTTGAAATCCAGCCCGGCCACCCCATTCTGGTCTGCAGAAGCACAGACAAATGTGAACTCTGCATTGATGGCCTGGCTTCCTCCGTGAAAGAGCACCAGCTTTTGCCACTGCTTCAGGAACTCACCACAGGGGTGCTGAGCCTCTCTTTGCACCCCAGCCCTTACAAGAAGCAGAGACAACTTGCAGAGGTGAAATACACCACCCATCAGGCTGCAGCAATAGCCAAGAAATCTCTGGTAGAAGGTTTGTCTCATTCTGTGCTCTATAACCGGGGTCCCCAACTCCTGGTCCACAGCCTGGCACCTGGCTGCAGAGACAAAGCTCCCACACTATGCACACACACGCATGCCCTGCCCACCCGTGCATGTGTGCATGGGTCCCCCGCACATCCGCCCACGTGCCCTGCTCACCCACGCATGCGCACCCTGCCCATGCACAGACCCCACGCCCCCAAAGAGTTTGGAAAAGGTTGGGGACCACTGCTCTATAAAAGGAGTCTAAAGAGTTTGGAAAAGGTTGGGGGCCACTGCTCTATAAAAGGAGTCCGACTACTGGTGCTGCTGAGCATTCCTTGTACCTGCCATTTATCTTGGTAGCATGCCCCATCCACATGTCACTCCTTCCCATCACTTTCACCTTTAGCAGTGCTGCAGAGGACCGATAGAAATTTCATTTGAACATTGGCAGAGGCATGGATATTATGTAGTTGTTCTCTGGTGGTTTACGAATGTGGTACTTGACTTGATACAGAGTTGAATGACCATATTATGCACCAGTATGGAGGAGCTCAAAGCTCTTGCTGTACACATAAGTGTAAATTTTGCCAGTTTGTCACCATAACGTTGGACTTTGTTTTGGCATTTTTTCCTTTTCTAGTACCTGTTGCTATAATTTTCATATAAGAGGTACATTCAGATTGACGTGAAGTTATTTCCTTTCTTGTGCAGGTACTTTGTGTCTCTTTGGAGACCAGATTGAAGTGGATTGGCTGAAACCCAGCATAAAGCAGGAGGTCCACAAGGGTGCCCCAGTTCAGGATGTCCCAGAGATCCTACCATTCAGTCACACTCGGAGAGATGCCCCTAGCCAAGGGCCTTCTGAGCCTGCAGATTGCCATATGTTATCAGCTGTGGGCAGTGTGGTGGACTATCTGAAATTGGAGTGTGAGAAGCGACAGCTGGGGCCCCCTCAGTTCTACACAAAGTGTGTACAGAGGAATCCAGAAGGTTGGCTGCAGTTTTGGTATCAGGTGACCATACCCAGTTGCCCATCTCCTTTCAGTGGGTTAATCTGGATCAAGCCAGATCACTCTCGATTGGAAGACCATGAGAAAGTCAAGAATACAGTAGCCTTGCAGCTGCTGAAAGTGCTGGGTAAGTGTGCTTAAGACAATTTCTTTGTGTAAACAATCATTTTATGTCATTCAAAGGGATGCCAATATTTCAGAGGGTAAAACCAGAGTGCTTTACCTACTGAATGTTCAACAAGGGAGTCCAGTGCTTTGCTACATCACAGTCAAACAGCAGAATCTGGCACATAGCCAAGCCAGGAGGTCTCCAGAAAGGACCCTGCAGGTGTTTGTTGAAAAACAATGTCATATGTTTTCTGGAGCCTTCAAAGTGAGACATTTTCTTTCCTGGAATGAAGGTAGCCCATGTATATTTGGAGAGCTCGGCAATCAGAGCAATGCATGGGCCTTGCCAGGTCATTTTCTCCCCTATCCCCTCTGCACCTCTAATGCCATCTTGGCTTTCAGAAAAATTTGGATCACAGCTACCGTGTTTCCCCGAAAATAAGACAGGGTCTTATATTAATTTTTGCTCCAAAAATGTATTCATGGCTTATTTTCAGAGGATGTTTTATTTTTTTCATGTATACCAAACTACATTTATTCAAATGCAGTCATGTAATCTGGTTGCTGCACAATGGTGAAGGGTGGGGTTTCACTTCACTGGGGCTTATATTTTGGGGTAGGCCATATATTACGAGTATCCTGAAAAATCATACTGGGGCTTATTTTCAGGTTAGTCTTATTTTTGGGGAAATAGGGCAGATATGGTCCCCACTCATTGCAGAGTGTGTGCAGGGATGGCAGTGGTTAATGACGGGTGATGGAACATTTTGACAGAGATCAAAGTCATACAGCACCTTGTTTTAGACCTGTAGTGCAAATGTTGGGAAGGTATTATAAATCTTAAAAATCAATGATCCCAACAAAGTACAAATGCCTATAGTGTTAGTAATAATGTAGGAGGCAGTTTGTTTGCCATTCTGCTGAGCTGTTCTGTGTTATATTTTTATTGCATTAAGTTTTTTCAGCATTTCCCACTATATAGTACTCCTTACTCCTAGTTTTTTCTCACAGCAAAATTTTAAAGGTTGGGAATTTTAAGTGATCATGTTTTTCTAGAGCACATCACATGAAAGCAAGAAATAAGCTAAATGGGCAACTGTAGCCTTTGCCTCCCAGCTCAATAATTATTTTTGTTTAACAAATAGATTACACTTGATATGGTAGCTTCTTGAAGTTTATTTAAAATTGGCAGTCTTCTAGTCGTTTAATGTTACTCAGCACATTTGGAAGAACTTTAAGAACTGTCATGTATGCCATCGCAAAATGGTTCCTATGGGAAATGGCCATTTCTGAAATAGCTGCCTTAGTGGGTACAACCACTCAAAAGTGTGCCAGAAATTGAAACTAGTGAAGCTAAAAGGTAGGTTGCCCCAGAATCTGTGTAAAGATTATTGAGTGAGCTGATATATTACAGAGCAGAATGTATGATCTGAAGCCACCTGTCAGCTTCACTTCTGCAGGAATATCTTCAGTATTTGAGGGTGGAAGTTTGTGATGTTAACCGTATTGCAAACTAGGTTCTTTGCTCTGTAGGCATGCAAGCTAAAAACTTTGCAGAGGGAGAGGACCTTGGGGAGTCATGACAACTGACTATGCATACTGTGGAGACCATGGATGCTGTTTCAGAGGTTATTTTGTGTCTTTTTTGAAGGGAGTTTCAGATAGTTTCCAAAATCACTGAATTGTTCAGGTTTCCATACAGACCAATATAAGATAAAAGCAGCATTTTTCCTATGCTGTTTGGAGCAAAGGATCACACTTCCTCAAGAGTTGTTTAAAAGAAATACAGTGGAATCTCAACTTACAAACTTATTGGAACAGTGTTCATACGTCAAAACATATGTAAGTCAAAGCAAAATTCCCCATAGGAATGCGTTGAAAAACATTTAATCTGTTCTGGCTGTTTTTCGTTCTTATCTAGGGGCTCCAGTTGCAAGTAGAGGCATTAGTTCCCATAGGAACTAATGCAAAGCCATTAATCTGTACTCTACCACTAGGGGGAGAATTTTTTCTTCTTCTTTTGACCTAAGATGGTAAAGGTAAAGTTTACCCTTGACAATTTTTGTCCAGTCTACTTTTTAAGGGAGTTTCAGATAGTTTCCAAAATCACTGAATTGTTCAGGTTTCCATACAGACCAATATAAGATAAAAGCAGCATTTTTCCTATGCTGTTTGGAGCAGAGGATCACACTTCCTCAAGAGTTGCTTAAAAGAAATACAGTAGAACCTAAGCTTACAAACTTATTGGATCAGTGTTCGTACGTAAAAACATACGTAAGTCAAAGCAAAATTCCCCATACTGCTTGGTCTTCTGACCCTGCAGCACAGGCTTCTGCGGTTTAGCCTGCAGCGACACCACGTGGTCAAAAAAAGGGCAGGAAAAGAGGGGGGGAGGGAACATCCTTTAAACAGAACAATTTTTGTTCATAAGTTGAAGCTCTGTTCACAAGTCGAAGCAAAATTTTGCGGCCGGAGTGATTCGTAAGTCGAAATGTTCATAGGTAGGGACGTTCGTAAGTCGAGGTTCCACTGTATGTAAATCGCCCCTGAACACAAATAAAATGCAGGTAGGGATGTTTGTAAGTCGAGGTTCCAATGTATGTAAATAGCCCCTGAACACAAAATGATTGGGATTTGGTGACAGAACATGGAAACTAACTCTCTTCTTTTCCCAACAGGGTTACCAGTTGTGTAAGACATAGAACTGCTCTGAAGTTTGAGAGGGCCCGTGTGCCTCCTTGAATGTAACACAAACCCATATGGACAGTGGGTGCCTGGTCTTGTTTGTCATTTGTAACTGGCATGCATTGTTTCTTTTGGGGCATTTTTTCCCTATCATTTCAGTATTGCTAAAATGTTTTGTGTTTTGTTCTTTGAACAACCCCCATTCTTTAGGGAAGGGGAGTGGAAGAAAGGTTATGTGCCTCTTCCTAAGCAAGTGAAGTAAGTGAGGGTATTCTGTGTGCTGAGTACTAGGTTTTCCTTCCTAAAGCAAGTACTGTGTTAAGACTAAATGTAAAGGCTAAAGTAGACACTATATTATGTAGTGAGTAAGGAAGCCTCATTTTCTTCCAAATAAGTGCACAGGAGCCCAAGCTGATCATCACGCAGAGATAGGAGAAACTTAAACCTACCCTCCCCAGTTGGGGTTTCCTTAAATTCAGCCACACTTTCCTCTCCAGGGCTGATAAAAGAGGGGGAAACTTGATTGATGCCCTTGGCCCTTCTACTGAGATACAGGGGTTCTAAGTCACATTGAATCCCTGTCCACATAAGACAAAAAGGAAGATTTCCTTACATACTACTTGTTTAATGCAACTTTAGGTTCATCTGTTAGCATGCCAGTCACGATTCAGTTTCAAGAGTAAGGAGACAGTTTTTCTTTATTAAAATATTATTGTTTTTTGTATTTCTTAAATTTGGAATATGTTTTCAGTTATGTTTGGAGTATGTTTTCATTTGTTTGTACAATAGTTTCAACTGCTTTGCAGTCAGGGTGATGTTTCTGACTACTTTCTGGTGCCTCTTAATAAGCACAACGCAGCTCCTGTACCAACCAGGTGGCTTTTTAACACAGGAAACTATTCCTAATGAATGATAATATATGCAAATAAGGATTTCAAGTAAAAAAGATATACATCATGTCCATTTAAACTACACATTTTTAATAACTGTGTAACATGAGATCCTGAGGCACTTGAGTATTAAAATAGTTTTGAAAGAAAAATGTGTGGTGTCCTTTTATTGAAGCATTAAGAATTGGAGATGGGATTTTCTTTAAAAACAAAAAGTGGAAAAGCCACAAAAGAAGTTCTTTTGCTTTCAGGTTTTCATTGATTCCCAAAAGATAACTTATTAAACATGGAAGGACTTGCATCAATGAAAGCAGGGTACACATAAATGCTGCATTTTTCATGTTTCCCTTTTCTGTTTAATTTCTCTTTCCCCCTTTGCCTCTTCCCCTGAGTAATTTTTTCAACCAGTAGTGCTGCCAGGGCTGGAGTCAACAGCCAATCAGAAAGTCCAGGAGAAGGAAGCACACATTTTTGAATCTGTAAAAAGGCCTGGATTGGTTGGAACTGAGTGGGAGTGATGCTTTTTTAAAATCCGTCATTGCCAGTGTCATTGCTTTTTTGTGCAGGTGGAGCTGGGCAATAGGATACTGGCTAATGTCTATAATGGTTTCTTCACCTGAAACAATTTCTCTCCAAAAGTTACACCGCATAAAATCCCAACAGAATGTTGGCATCTGCAGTTATATAAAAATTCTACATTTTCTTTCCAAACTCTTAAGTTGCAATATGATATCTTCTCATTGCTGTAACAACCTGGTTGTACTTTCCTCATGAACCAGAGACCCAAGACAGAACACCTCTTCCACAGCTCTGCTGCAGTCTCAGGAAGATTGACTTTTTTTGGCTGGATGCTTCAGTACCAATTTCATTGGTGCTGTCCGGAGTTTTCTTCACAAGAAGACAGGATCAACTATCATGCTGACTCCTCCACAATACAAGGACATACATGACTGTCTGCAAAACATGGTAGCTTCCCACTACCTATAGTTACAAAGGCCCATCCAGATAAGTGACCTCACATATACAATTGGTGTAAGATTTTCAGTCACTGTCACTCTCCATCATGTTGTCCCTTTCCTCTAGGCTTGCAGGCTCCTCTCTCAAATCTGCAAAGAAGTCCTCCCCACTGCCAAAGGCTTTATGGCTCAAAGATTTCAACTGGCCACTTTTCTTCTTCTTTCTGTAATCATCCACAATTACTGAGCTAAGTGAAGAGATGTCCCAAAATTTCACCTTCTGGTCATGGCCGCAACTGGCAAGGAATGGGCTAGTATGACATTTGGCTAGCTGCTCAATAGGCTCCCCTACATGCTGCCCAACGCTGCCTATCACCCGGTTGGGCAAGATATTTACTGCCCTGAAATCAGAAGAAAAAGCTCAATTAATGAAGCACAAGTTTCTCTGTAATAATTTCCAGTATTTTGCCCTAGAATGCATTGGGGTCAAGGGAGAAAGCTAAATCTGTTTTTTAAATCTTAAGTACTTCATCTGTATCAAATACTGAGAGCTTAATATTATGAAATACGGCACAAAGAGGAGCACAGGAGAAGGATGGAACCAAGAAAGGAAGAATCAACATTAAGATAAATCCTCAAAATATTGTAGATTTTTAAAGTCTGTTCACCAACGAAGAGAATGCCTACAAAGAGCTACATTTTTCTGCAGCACCTTGAGGGAAGTTCATGCAAATGGCTATATTTATTCTGCCTTGCAGGGATTAGATAGGAATCCAGCCAGTCTGCAGTGCTCTTAAGTAGAGATGGGAACAAACCAGGAAAATTGCAGTTCATGGTTTTTCACTATTCAGACTACAAACCATGAATTTTTCAACAAAACCAGCTGTTATGGTTTGTGTGATTCAGGACTTCTGAAAGCAGTAAAGTGGCCCCTATGTCACACAGAGACACCAAAGTCACAGTGAGTCTTCAGCTGAATCCCCTCCCCATCCCCTCCAACTGTGGCAAAGATTGGATTTGGAATGTCTGAGTTATCGCCCCTCAAAGTAGGTCCCCTCCAGGAAAATGCTTTTCAGAAGCTGGCTAAAGAATACTTTTTGGGAGGGGGGGCTGCTTGGGAGGGGAGCTATAACTCAGACATCCCAAATCCAGTCTTTGCCAAACTTTGACTTACTCTACTCTTCACCCACTCCAAATCGGAAGATTGGATTTGGGATGTTCAAGTTTTAGGCCACATACAAATCTCCAATGCTGATAATAGTTCAGCATTTTGTTTCATTCTGGGCAGGCATGTTTCCCCAATGTGCTCCAAAATGAACCACAAAAAGGTGATACTTTTTAAATTGCTTCATGGTTCATTTTGCGCTATCTGTACTCTTTAAGAAACTGGCCCAGACAGTTGGGTGCACTCCTGCTAGGGAGAACGGTCTTCACAATCCTATCCAATACTGGGATATGTCAGCATGTATTGAAGGTTATATTTTCTCTGGCCCATCTCTTACAAAAGCTCTAGCTGTAGCATTTCCAGCAGCACATTTCAGCATGTCTATTCAGTGTTGATCAGAATAATCTCCTGACATACTCATGGACTCTTACCTGATGACCCCGTCAGTGGAGCCTGTACACACAATGCTCTCTGTTATGGGAAGCATGCAGTCAATGGACTCCGCCTTCAGTGCAAAACGGTCACTGGTAGCCCCAAAACCATCCCAGTTAAAGAGGTAAATGGTTCCCTCACTGGAGCCACAGGCCACTTTCTTTCCTCTCTGAGCAAGGAAAATAAAAGAAAAAGCAGTGTGATTCCCCTTTCCTCTCCCATCAACAATGAAAAACAGCAACAGGGAAGACTACCTGACAATAAATTTTTCCCTCTTAAGAGTATTATACTGCAGATTAGTGTAACAGGAAATAGCTGCCAAAAATAGTTCCGTTCCTCAGTTTCTATCGGGATGCTGAAGCAAGCAAGCCTTTCTGCCCAGCTGCCCAGTTAACACTAACCTTCATAAGTGAGATGGCTGTTAAATCTCCATTCTGAGGCTCAGAGAGTAGCTCAAAGCGCCTTCTCTTGATGTTGAAGACTCCCAGAGTTCCATCTCCACTGCAAGAAATTGGAATGGTACATCATGCTTTCTCTTTATAAGAAAATTATATCTCCCTTTTCATCTTACAGAAGCAGTGGACTTATGTAATCAAACTCCTCTCCCTCTCCTATTGTTTCCTCCCTCTCCTAAGGTTTCTTCTATTTAAAATTTTTTATACTATTTTATGCTGTTAGCCGCCTAGAGTGGTCTTAACCGACCAGATAGGCGGGATATAAATAAAATAAATACTACTAATAATAAACCCAGCTGAAAGCTGTTTTGGGGGCAACTCAGTATTTTAGCCCCAGAGAAGGGACTTCAGCTGGCACATATGTCACAGGCTCTCAGAAAAGAGAGAAATGAGGCCAGGAATTGTGGCATCTGGATCTAAAAGTTCCTGGTCTTCCACTCAAGGAACATGCAAAGTGCCACCACTATCAAAAGACAGCAAATCCGATTCCATTGAAACTTTCAGTTAGCAAGAGAGTGCAGGCATACCTTGTGGTGAGCAGCAATTTCTTATTTCCATCCACAGCAATATCACTAATGTATTCTTCATGCTCCTTCATTTCCATGATGGAGGTACCCTTGCGCAGATCCCACACTTTCAATTCCCCATTGTCATCTCCTGTGGCAAACAGATGTTCATCTATCACCAGCAGGCTGTTTAAACCAGAGCTGTGGAAATTCCAAAGATTTATCAACCAAGCCAATTCTTTAGCTAACCAACATATGAGAATATACCCTATTCCCACTCAGAACGGCTGCCTCCTGTGAGATCCTGGCATCCATACAGCACTTCTAGTCAGAGCACAGAAATACTATGAGGAAGGAAAGCACCTGGCATAACTCTGAAGGGTAGAATGAAAGACTTAACAGGGCCCAAAACAAAATACACATCTCAGGGCACATGAACACTACATTTTTTTTCAGCACTGCTGCAGGCTCATGTGTACCAAAAAGAAAGAAAAGACTGAAAGTCCTGTGGGCTTGAAAGCACAACTACTCAATAAATGCCATGCCATCAAAGCCACGGAAAGGCTGGAAAATAGTCCCAAATGCTTACCTGTGGGCTTTGGAGAAACGTGTTATGAGACGGCCTTCCTCCACATTCAGGATATGAATGGCTTTATCCTTGGACACTGTGAAGAGCTCTAGAGGGCAGAGGAAAACCACTTATGCCACTGCATACGAGCAAAACTCCATAGGGTATCTTAACTGGCAATATATCTATGTAGTCAATAGAAAATAAAAGTGTATCCCAATTCCAATTGGCTGTGCCACTGAACAACCCCAATTCCACTGAGCTATCCAGCCAGTTTCTTATTATTTGTTTATTATTAATTATGCAAAGAACAATTCCTACGATCAATCTTCAATCAGGAGAACACAAATACTAATTGGGGGGAAAATGCTGCAACAAAAAGTATTGCAGCCTAAAATATTACCTGGGTGCTTAAATATAGATTACCATCTGCAGTATGGACCTATTTTACAATACAGTTGTAAGGCTGACTAATAACCTGCATGAAACTGCATACATAAAATACGTAATTTATGGATAAGTTTGGAATGTGCTCAGAACATGGTGACCAAAACAGTGAAAGGTCTGGAAACGAAGCCCTATGAAGAAGGTTGAGGAAGGTAGGTACGTCTAGCCTGGAAAAGAATGAGGGGCATTTTCAAGTATGTAAAAGAAATTGTCTTCCAAAACTAATAGCTATCACCTCAAGAGACTATCATGCAGCACATCCCATACATTAACAATGTTTTCTGTGAAGTATAGTATGTCACCCAAAATCTATTGCCTATTCACTGGTCCACTTACAGTCCTGGTTTTATGATAAGGAAAAACTGATGTCCCACTAGATAATGTGTTTTTAAAATGGTTGTTGTGGGTTTTTTGGGCTCTTTTTTAGAATCCTCAGATCTTTTGCACTGCTGGGATTCAACCAGACTTATAATTGCACCTTTTACATGTCTACGCAACACTGAGTTCGAAACACTGATTTTCAAAAGTTAGTTCGTTGTTCGATTCTTAGTGCTATAGTTTAATATTATCTGTTATTTTAAGCTTAGTTAATTCATTGTTTGATTCTTAGTGCTATAGCTTAATATTATCTGTTATTTTAAGCTTATCAGATTAATAAAGTGTTACCAAGGCACTGCTTTTTAATTAGTTTTCTTGTTATTAAGCATTCCCACACACAATATATAAAAGCACCTTTAAAAAGCCTCCCCTGGAGCAAGTAAATGTTACTTGTAATTTTTAAAATAACAATGTTACCAGTCATTATATTAGTTCACAAAATGAAACTTCTCATGCTCATATCATCCAGAAAAGTAATGTTGCAGGCAGTGTTGTTACTTGTAACACATAACCTTCAAGCTACAACACAGAAATAAGTCCTACTGTATTTAAGGGCTGCAATGTCTACAAAGTATGCATAGGGTGGTTAATATCCCTTTTTTGGTTAGATTAGGAGTGAATCCAGTCCACTATATATTAGCTACAAGGCCAAAAACATGAAATGAGAACTCACTGTGTCCATCATGAGAAAAGGACACTTCTCGACAAGATTTTAAATGATGTCCTGAAGACCAAAGCTCCTTGTTCCCACCTTCCAAACAGGAATATGAATACCTGAAAATTTTTAAAAGAAAGGAACCTGTCACAAAGCAGCAGAGCTGAAGAGGAAAGCTACCCAAGGAAAGCAGCAGGACTGATGAAGCAAGGCAAGAAGAGAGTGAGGAAATGTCAGTCTGAGGCAGGAAGATGTAAGAACCTCTTCTAAAAGGGGAAGACAGCAGTGGAAGGGGCCAGAGCACCCCCATGTTTTCATCCCCCCTCCTCTAAATACACTTTCCACAGCTAAACAGAATCAGGATCAAATGGAAGAAACAGTAGGTTAAGCACCACACCCCAAACAATCCTATTCAATATGACTGTTTTCCCACTGCTACTAGGAGACAAACAATGGCCTTGACCAGGATCACTGAAACAGGAGACATAGTAGAGAACCCTTCACCTCTCACACAAGTGGTCTAGAGAGCCACAGAAAGATTGACAGTTTTGACTGCCAATGAAATTTTGTTGCAGAAAAACTGGTTGCTGCTTCTGGAGTGGAAAGACTAGCTGACAGAGCCATTGCCCAGGGAACACTCAATTGTATCCACATTCTTTAGGGAGGATCCTTTCATGCCTGTCATCGTTTGAAGAAGTGGGTGACAGTTGTCCAAAGCTTACAGCAAATAAAATTGGTTGGTCTTGAAGGTGTCACAAGACTCTTGTCAGTTTTGCTGCAATAGGCTAAAAGGCCTAAACATCTGGAAATTTTACCAATGTTTCTACCTAATGGTAGTGGAAAGGGATAATTCTCTGTGGCTTTCACCTGCACTGAATGCAAGGGCTAAGTACGAAAGCTGTTCTCTCTGGAAATCTGTACTCACACATAGACATCACCATCCACATCTCCAGCAGCTATGATATCCCGGCAGGGGTGAAAGGCAATGGTGTTTGCAGCTGCTTCAAGCGAAAGGTCTTCAGGGGTGTCTCGCAATCTAGGTTCATGTTCCACTTCCTCCTCATCTGAAGATACCTAGGTGAAGATGGGGGAAAAAAACAAAAGACCAAAGCCACCACAGAAGCTGAGTTATTCCCTGACTCCAAGAAAAGTTGTATCAGTTGATGTTATTTACCATCACAGAGCATTTTACAATCCTAAGACTATTCTTCCAAGTGGAGTCACTCTACATGCTTTAGCCAAATCCAGTTAACAATCATATGGTGAAAGATGTATGGAAAGTAGTTTGTAGCCATAAATGGGCAAGCCAGCTCAGTCAGCCGGATCACAGAAGAGCTTCAGGCTTTTATGACTGGCTTCTTGCTCAACTGAAACCAGCTCAGTCAGCCGGATCACAGAAGAGCAGACTTCAAGCTTTTATGACTGGCTTTTTGCTCAACTAAAGCCTCCAACGAAGAACCTCCAACAGGATTTTGATGCAAAGATACTATGTGCGTAACTCACCATCTTTGCACACAAAAATCAATACTGGTCACCTCATGTTATTTTTCCTTTTAAGAGTTTAACTCAGACCCTAGTCTAAGGGCTGGAGTGTGTGATGCCGCTATTCTTAAATAATTGAGAGCTGCAAACTTTGCCTGATTCACTAAAAATCAATCAGGGAGTTGCCAGTAGCAACTACCTTCTGCCTAACTGACAGACCCCTCTTGCCCTGTCACTCACAGAACCATCTCAATGGATTCTTCTTCCAGTTTCCCCTGTTTATACAAAGTTCTGCTTTGGACAGTATTTTTATTGGATCATTAAGTAGTGGCTAGTAAAGAGAACTTTTGGAGTTCTCCAGCACTCTTGAGTACGGCAAATATGGTATAAAATCTGAAACGATGCCCATGATCTTGAAAGCAAACTTGCACTCCAAGGTCACTTGGGAGTCCTGCAGATTCTGTATGCGACTGAAGCCTCAAATCTATCCAATTTTACAGCCTCTCTTTCTCTGTGTGTCTGCAGATAAAAGCCCGGTTTGGCAATGAACTAAGGGGGCGAAGTCAGTCTTTTGTCTGCAAGGAGAGGACAGATTCTAAATGGGCAAATTTATCAGAAGACCGGAGAAAGAGAACAACCACTGATCACCTCCAGCCTCGAGGGAGATTTCTTGGTTGCTAGGAGATAGTCAGAAAGTACTCACCGGCTCGGGCGCCGCCATCTTGAGGAACGTGTCTGTCCGGGCGGATGTGCCGGGAGCCTACGACGCATGCGCAGCAATCGAAGGGCGGAAATAATGAAAACTGTTTCCATCCGCCAGAAACCATAGACGTCGATTAAGGTCGAATGATATTTGGAGAGTGGAAATACGGGGTTTTTAGGTTCTTCGTTCTGGGGTATTGACAGCAGCGCTTCCAAATAGGGAACGATGTGCTTATGCTCTTCCTAACTCGTGGGGCTTTATTGCTTCCCCGTTGTTTATTTTATTTATTTATTTATTTATTCGATTTTTACCCCGCCCCTCTAGACAACGTCTACTCGGGGCGGCTTATATCAGTTAAAACAAGTTAAAAAAACATATAAAATGCATTTATTAAAGGAGAGCCTAGAAAGCTGCCCTGTATCACGGGAAGGCGAGAGAGAGCTCAAGTCCCGGAGAAGAGGGACTTCATAGCTGGCAGCAGAAAGGGAGCCGTCAGTTATGGCAGCCTGGAGGGGACGCGTAGCTGCCTGTCTCCCCACCTTGCTTTTAATGGGAGAAGATTAAAATACGTGATGGGACGCGGTTGCCCCCTGTTTTTCTCTCTAAGAAAAGCAGAAGGGAACAGAAAATGTTTGATCCGCTCACTGAAAGCAGTCACCCCCCCCACCCTGTGGGCCCCCCCTCCGCTAAGAGTAACTTGGGCAGTCATTTCATACCTACACAAGGCTTAACCAAAAAAAAAAAAAAACTTTTGGGAAAGAACCCCCACTGTCATGGAGAAACAGTATCTTTGTATTTCAAAAGCCGAGTTTACCTGCTAAGATAGGCACTCCCACTAACAATGACCAGGAGGATGTTTTGGTAATCAACATTCTGGCAATTCATTGCTTGTGTTAATAATGCTACTATCCCTTTGAAATTTCATTTTTTGTGCTGACTTCTCTTGACCTGCATCGTCACAAAGCATACTGTGTATGATACTGTGGCTGAAATTTTTACTCTGTGTGCCTGAGAATGTGGGTTGTAATTCACTAAAACTCACAGTCAAGTAAATCTTTTAGTCTTTGAGGTGCCACAGTACTTCTGTTTTTATTGTGTGTGTTACTAATTCTCTAGTTTTTCTGAAAGTCACCGGTGGAAGCTGTTTCATCAGGTTGAGTGGCAATGGAGCCTCTTGTGCCACCAAACCCCAGAATTTTCCCCCAGGCCAACTGAGCCCAGTGGTTCCTTCGCCTCCTCCCATGGCCACACAGTGTGTTACCTAGTGGTTTGTATCCCGTCTTTGGCCCCATGGGTGCTGCCTGACCTTGTAGCGATCTCACCTTTACTGCAGCAAGTTTATGAACATTCCTAGGGTTATAGAACAGCCAAACTTGTGCCAGGTCCTAAGTCCACGAAAATAAGAGTCAGCCAGGCGGTGGGGTGCAGCCTTCATTTCTCTTGGCCATAGCAAATGCCTTTTCACAAGGCCAGTCTGAGCAAGGAAGAAGATTGGGCTTTTTGCTCGTCAATGACCAAGGGCACGGCTGGTATCTGTTCACGCACCTCTGTTGTACTGTGCTAGTCTAAAGCACCAGGTACTTTGAAACAGATGGATTTAGGCTGAAGCATCTCTTAGAATCATATTCATAATGTTATAGTATAGGTTTTACATCTTAAGTAAATCGCACACACATCTGGATTTAAAACAATGGATTTCTAAAACTTGTGTTTCTGATTATTGTAGCAGGTAAGCAAACTCACTGTGCGCAGTACAACAGGATGTTTGTAGTCTGCAAAGTACTTTTATTTCGAGGACTGCAATGTTTTGTGGGATGGGTGTTGTTTGTCATACCAGAAACATAACAGGTGAGAGGAAAGCATTTCTTTCTATATATAATGGCAGCTGGATGTGTGCTGAGGAGGTAAGAGTATCTGACTGCATTTTTGCTGAGACAAAAACTTGATGAATAGTTATGCTGTATATAATACTCTATAACTATTATATACAGCATATATATAGGGACGTGATGGTGCTGCGGGTTAAACCGCAGAAGCCTCTGTGCTGCAAGGTCAGAAGACCAGCAGTTGTAAGACTGAATCCACACGATGGAGCGTTCCAGTCAGACATGACTGGACTAAATGTCAAGGGGAACCTTTACCTTTACCTATATAATACTGATTAATATAATCTCTTACCCATTACAATTTATCACAACATTCACCTGTCTCCTGTAAATTGAATAAGATTAAGTCTTCTCATCACTGCGTTATCAGTTAATCCCTTTTTCTATACTAAGATGTCTTTCACTACCTGACAATTCTTTGTTGATAATCACTGTTAAGATAATTATATAAGTGATTTTTGCATTCAGTTCCATTGTATATTCCCCATCCCAGCAAGCATATATTAATCTGCCAATGGAGACAGCATAGATAAATCTCATTAAGTAGTCTGCAATCCACAAACAGTGATGCCGTAAGAAGTATGATTTTAAGTTTTGTTTTGTTCTACTGTCCAATTATAACTTTATTACAAATGATGGAGAACTGGTGTATCCCTACCAATTAACAAAGGTTTGTAAACTAGGTACTAGCTTAATTTCTGCCAACTGATGCTCAAAGTATTTATGGGATCTGGATAACACTTCCCTTGCTCACCCCAGTTTTTAAAAATGCCTTTGGGCTGCTAATGAAACAAAAGGCCAAGCAGCATCTGCAGATCTCAAATTACCACCAGCACAAAATGCCACTAGGCTAATCTAGCTCCAAAAAAAGGGCCTCCTGCTCATCAGATACATCAGGTTACTATGCAGGGAACAGACCAGGGAAATACCAAATCCTCAGCCATCTTCAGGACCATCAATTTATTTTTTTCAACACTGCCGTAGGTTATGAAAAGCAGATTGATATGTGACTCCTAACTGCCTGCTCCTTGTATAGATTTGAGCATGGGAGTTTTATAGGTGGATAGCTTGAAAGACAGTTTAGTAAATCTCCATTTTCTGGAAGTAAAGTTTACTTTATGTGGGGGTTTGTGTCTGGGTAATGCTGAACAAGCAGATGGCAAAAAAAGGGGGCAGGCATCAGCTTACACCAATCTTTACAAGCTAGAAACAATGGTTTAAAATCTGGCAGCAAAAAAAGGGGGCAGGCATCAGCTTACACCAGTCTTTACAAGCTAGAAACAATGGTTTAATTTGAAGAAGTGTGGCAGCAGGTAAAAGGTAAAGGTTCCCCTTGACATTTAGTCCAGTCGTGTCTGACTCTAGGGGGCAGTGCTCATCCCCATCTCCAAGTCTTAGAGTCAGTGTTTTGTCCGTAGACAGTTTCCGTGGTCAAGTGGCCAGCATGAATAGACATGGAATGCTGTTATCTTCCCAACGTAGTGGTACCTATTTATCTACTCGCATTTTTAGAGGCTTTCGAACTGCTAGGTTGGTAGGAGCTGGGACAAGCGATGGGAGCTCACTCTGCCACATGGATTCAAAGTGCTGATCTTTCGACCTTGCGCCCAGAGGCTTTTGCAGTTTATTCTGCCATTTTGTCCTGTACTATTTCCCACTCCCACTACAATATTGCTGCTGTTATGTGCTGTCCAATTGCTCTGACCCTCTTAATTAGTGACCTCCAAAGGGCCTTATCATTAACAACATTGCTCATCTCTTGCAAATTAAGGACTGTGGTGTCCTTTTCTGAGTCAATCCATCTATGTGCAGTCTTTTTCCTACTGCCTTCAACTTTTTATATTATTGTCTTGTCCAGTTAGTTTTGTCATGGTATGTCCAAACTAGAGATGAGTATAGCTTGTCAGTTCCAGGGTGAAAACATTTGCTGGTGCAGCACCACTCAGATGGAGCCAGGACGGCAATTCTCCCTGTGCAACCATTTAGTGGTCAGCTGCCAGAAGAGCCAACTTTTTATATTATTGTCTTGTCCAGTTAGTTTTGTCATGGTATGTCCAAACTAGAGATGAGTATAGCTTGTCAGTTCCAGGGTGAAAACATTCGCTGGTGCAGCACCACTCAGACAGGGAGCCAGGACGGCTATTCTCCCTGTGCAACCATTGACAGCTCAGCTGCCGGAAGAGGCAGGGAAGGGAAGCTTGATCTCTTTCCTGGACTGGGCAGCCAATGAAGAATGATGGACCGGGTGGTGCACCAAGGCTTGTGGGTAGGGCAGCTCACGGGGGTGGGGGTGGGTAGAGAACACACATGGCATCTGTTGTGTCATGCCAATGAATTTCATCACCCCAGGCCGACTTAAATTGTGCCCGTCTCCAAACAATAATTTCAGTTTTAATGTATTCGCGAAGGCTTTCACGGCCGGGATCTAATGGTTGTTGTGGGTTTTTAGGCCGTCTTTTGAAAATTTGGGCAGCCAGTGAAAGATGATGGACTGGGTGGTGCACCAAGGCTTGTGGGTAGGGCAGCTCACTGGGGGGTGAGGTGGGGAGAGAACACACATGGCATCTGTTGTGTCATGCCAATGAATTTCATCACCCCAGGCCGACTTAAATTGTGCTCATCTCCAATCCAAACAATAATTTCAGTTTTGTCATTTTCACTTTCAAAATGTGTTCAGGCTACAAGAAGCCCGAAAAACCCATAACAACCAACAATTTCAGGTTTGTCATTTTCACTTTCAAAATGCGTTCAGGCTTGATTTGATCTAGAACTAATTTATTTGTCTTTGTGGTGGCCCATGGTCTCCTCTGCCATCACATTTCAAATGAATCAGCTTTTTCCCTGAGAGCTTGTCATCCAGCTATCTTAGATTACACTGCAGGATTGCCTACAGCTTCCACTCTACTTGTAAATTTAACAGTGGACCTTAGGCTATCCTCAGCCATTCTTTTAGCCTTAGCACCCCACCCCAGGAGGACTGTAATAGTGGATTCTATTTTCATTGACATGATATTTAAAAATGCAATAAAATCATTTATTTGGTTATTTCTACTCTACCTCGCAACAACTGAAACCACAAACACATGTACAACTGGGGCCATTAGTTAATTCCATGGTATTTGGAGAATCAGCTTGCACCCACAGGGTCTGATAGCAACCTTCCCAGCCCTTTTAAGCAAGTTAAAGCTTTTGGTACATCTTGCCTTCAAGCAGGAACTTTTATACTAGCTTTTATATTTTAGCTATTTAGCTCAATTATTAGTTCTATATTAATGTTTTGTTCATTTGATAGATACAGTATATTTCATTGACTTGTTAGCTATCTCAGAGCAGAAGGGGTTTACCCTTGAAGGCTGACTACTGACACATTAAATAAAATGTAGCACATGCCTGAAAAAACAGTTTGTGCCTAAAACCAAACTCCTCCCTAATTGTATCATGCATGGCAGTTCGAGTATGAGAACAGAACAAAGGATAAATAACACAAATGTTATAACGTAAATGTTAGTGCAGATTTTATTGCATGTACAAGAATCACAAATCACAAAATCTAAAGTGCAGGTTCCTGTAAAACAGGCACTGCTGCAGGAAATAAAAGACAATACAGAGTCTCCAAGGCTCTTCAGAATCTGGGCCCTTTCTGGGCCCCACACAATGCTGAACACAGGCATCCAACTGGCTTTGCTCCAGAGCAGAAGAACTTCAAAACACTTCCATCACAGCCACATCCCTGCTGTAGCTTGACTTCAGGAATACAGCCAAAAGGATGGAAGCTTCAATACTTTGGTCTCTTCACCTCAACCCTGCAATTACAGACATGTATGAAGCACAATATATGGAAGTAAAACATAATAACCTCTGTTTAAAGTCACTTTATGTGCACTTATCTCTCCATGATTTTCATCTATAATGAAGCTACATTCTGTCAGAAACAGATGTGCATAATAGCATTTTAAGCATATATACAACAACAGAACTTCAATCGTTAAGCGAGGCACCACTGTATACAACAACAGAACTTCGGTAGGCAATATCCTGTTGTTTAAGTTTGCATCAGTATAAATCTAATCAGGCACTGGAAGCTTTTAATGTAAAGCAATTCAAAGCTTCCCTTTCCCCTCCTTTTAGGTAATGAGATTCCTTGTGGTTCCCTTTTGCCCTGTGGAAGCATTTGGGAACATCAGGACCAGGGAAGAGGAGCCTTTAATAGTAACCCCCCCCCAAAAAAAAATCTACTACTACTACTGCAACAAAAACATGGCCACCAAAGGGGCAGGGACTGCTACTGGTGATTTTTTATTTTATTTTATTTTTTTGCTACTGAAGGCATCCTTCTCTCCCAAAGTTCTCAAAAGCTCCCTCAGGGCAAAAGGGATCCTTAAGGAGCCTCAGAATCTAAAAAGGGGATAGGAAGGTTTGAGTTATTTTAAATTAAATACTTTTTAGCACCTGATCCAGGTTATGCCATTTAAGTTATACCAAGAGGATTTTGCCCAAATATGGTAATGTTTAATCTTGGAGATGGCAGCTTGCAATGTTGCTAATAGCACATTTCCAACCATATTTGCTGTAAAGATCCATGGAATTCAACAAAACCTTCTGAGTCTAAGATGGCAGCCTAGGACATTTAAAGCAAAAAATTTTTGTTAAATGCCAGAGCACATGTGATTAATTCTGGCTAATGGGAGTTGGAGAAAATAATGCTTGTGCTTGTCCTGCATACAAACAGGACTTCAGAATGTACAGTTATGATGAGTACTCTTGCACAAGGCTGGCATAGTGAACCTTCAATAAGTGAATAATTTAGTTAGAAGCAGAATGCTTCTAATAGTGAATGAAGCTGCAACAAGTCCTCTGGACCAAAACCTTCAACTATGCACCTTCAATTATTCTGAATATTTAGTTAAGATCTGATGAAATAAAGGTAAAGCATAGTTTTGTTTTATCTGTAATGCAAATTAATGGACCACGGCTGGCCATTTAAGCACATGGAATATATTCAGGGGTTAAGCTGGTCACAGAAATACTGCATACTTGATAATAAAAAATATAGGATAGCAATATTCTGCAGTTCACATATGCCGCTTTATCAGCCATCATGAGATGACCACAACAAAATAACTGCACACTGCCAAAGACAAGGCCGCATGCCCTGCCGACAGGAGCCTTCAGAGTTATTTTTCAAGAAGCAGCAACTTTGGAAATAAAAATAATTCTACTAACCCATCAGCCTCCATCTTCTTTCTTTTCTCGATTATCTGCAGAGAAAATACAATCACTGTGTTGCACATACATTAACACTTCAGAGGGGATGGCATTCGCATTGAGCAAACAAACATAAGCATCATAGAAATAAGGAACAATAAAGAGCCTTCTCTGTCTTAAAGATGAACAGATTTTGAGATAAGCTTTTGTGGACAGCAGCACAAAATCTTAAACTAAATAAAAATTGTTAATTTAAAAAAATTCCTTATTATTTTTGCTGCGGTACAGGAACAAAGCTACCGCTCTGTGCCCACAATTTTTGCACAAAAATAAAACAGACCAAATTTATTTCCATCAGGCTGGATCAGCATTCAAAGGGAAAAGGGAAGAAACACTCTACCTATACTGCCTGGTGTATTGGCTAAGACTTCTTTACCTGTCTTCTTCAAAATTAGAATCTTTATAATGATTTGGAAGGTAAAACAAACCCATAATTAATTAAAGGTCAAAAAAGATCGATAAATGTCTGCAAGTGACTGGAAAAGCCAGCTATTCTCTCGAAATCCCCCAAACAACATGGGAAGAATACTATGAAACACTTAAAAAACCTCTAAGGAAAATAGCATTCTTGAACTACTGGAGAACAATTTTGTTGAAAATGCTTACTGCACTGATCTTCTTCCATTGCCGATCCAATTCAGCCTTGTCATTGGTCTCTTTGAATCGACGGGTCTTGCGTCCTTCAGACATCTTGATTCCATACTGGAATGCCGCTCTAGAATAACACAGCAAAAACTGAAATGTGGATGGAAACATTATGCCTTCAACTGGACAGAGAGCCACCACATGTGGACAGTTTCTCCTCAGTCTAGAACAGAGATTGGCTGCCTTGCTGTGTTCAGGAAGCAACTTGCTTGTGAGCCTGCCCGCACAACTGCAGGAGCCATAATGCTAGGCACTCCGTCACCCACTCTGCTCTTCCCACCCTCAGGAGATGCTACAAACTCACTTGGGCAGAGCTTCTTTGTTGTTCATATACTCGCTGTACTCTTCCTGTGTGTCAAAGTCCCACCGGCCAAGGGGCCCTTTTTTGTTTCCCTTGAGAAGGAAAAGACAAGAATAGAATTCAGCTAGAATCCAGATATACAAAAGATAAAATAGAGGGTTTCTACTTCGAACAAACTATCTTTGATAAACTGGTTATTGGGTTCAAAAGAACAAATTGTTAAGAAAATGTATAATTATATGTTGGAAATTCAAATGCACGAGGAAATGGTTAAAGAACCTATGATTAAGTCGGCACAAAATATAGGGCACAACATTGATATTGATCAATGGCTGAAAATATGGCAAAATAACATAAAGCTCACAAGATCGGTTAATTTTAAGGAGAATATATATAACATAAGAAACCAGATAAAAAAGACTGCAACAAAGGCTCCAGTTGGAAATGGTAGCACTGTGGTCACACTTCAGAAAATCATAAAGAGAGACTTCAGGCATCAAGTTATGAAAATATTCCCCCACAGCAGAAATGCTTCTGTTGAATCTGCCAACAACTGGCAATATACCTGATCCATTTTGCTGTAGTCTACTTCTTCGTCACTGTCCACTGCCATGTCATCCATTCTAAAATGAAAAATAAACAATTAGAAATGTCTCAATTACTCTTAGAGCTTGCAGTTCTAGAGGCTTCTTCTCAGTTTCTCCAATTTCACAGAACAAAAACAATGTAATTTATAGTATACCAGTGGCAGCAGGCTGTATTCTGTGTATTCACTTGGCACTATTAAAAATAAAGATTAAGCTATTCAAATCCTATCTAAGCAAGAAGAACTGTTTTCAGAGATTAAGTAAACTCAAGATTTGTAGCTGGATTTCCAGAAACATTTGTCCTAGCCTTTAATTTTTAGACATTTAAAATTCCCCACTCCTACCAGTATTTAGAGCCAATGTGTTACACAATGATCACCTGAATGTTATGAGGATACACATAATCCAGTTTATGTTCTGAAAGCAGAGTCCTAAACATGATTCCATTTACTTTAGCTTATAACAGCTATGTGCATAACTGAAAAGGCAGAAATATACAAACAGACAGGCACCTGTGACTCCTTTCTGCTATAGACAATCCCCTGCAAAATCAAAGCTTCCAGGAATAAGTCAGAAATTGTTTATCTGTGTTCTAACTATGATATGAGTATCAAAGGATCATCCTTGATGAACTGTGCTGGATGTTGCCTGGATTAAAACCATGGAACCAGATTGCACCAGGTAAAGTGTCAAACTCCGCTACTCAGCCTATTTGCATTCCTTTAAATTAGAAAGGTATAGTTCCAGAAAGAACTTTTCTGGGCTGGCAGGAATCTCTAGTGAGCTGGATCTCCCTGTACAGTTTATTATAACTACCACATACGGCTATTCAACACTACCAGCCTACCAGCAGTGCTTCTAGGAAGATATTCAAAACTTGCACTACCCATATAAAATACATATCTGATTTATTCTACTCTATGTATAGCTAGTGTTTTAGATGCTATTGTAACACTTTGATATTATCTACTATAATTAAACCACAGTATTTAAATAAATATTTCTCATTTGCCATTTTTGCTCCATCTGAACTACAGTATGACTAAAAACAACAATTCTACATTTTCAGTGTGTTGCAAAATACCGTATTTTTCGCTCCATAAGACGCACCTTTCCATAAGACGCACCAATTTTTTAGGAGAAGAAAACAGGAAAATGTAATCTGTTTTCTTAGCTCCATAAGACGCACAGACTTTCCACACCCCTGTTTTGTGGGAAAAAAGTGAGTCTTATGGTGCAAAAAATACAGTAAGAGATCCAGAACCTGGTAATTCGTGCAGAGATTTCCAAGTTAAATTTAAGTATATCCACAATAAGCACTACAATTTGATAACATCAGATAACATTAGTCTTGTTACTCTAAGACAGAAGTATTACAACTAGTGGTCCTTCAACAGTTGCTGAACGACAACTCCATTAGCCTCAGCTAGCACAGCCAATAGTCAGGGATGATGAGAATTATACTGTATCAACTGCACCATCCCTTATTCCACTACGAGCAAGAAGGATTTATTTATTTATTTGATTTATACCCCGCCTATCTGGTCCAAGAGGACCACTCTAGGCGGCTGTATCAACTGCACCGTCCCTTATTCCCTTCCTCTCTGCAGAAGAATCAAACTTCATTTTACTTAGCTAATACATTCAGCACAGAGTGATAGCATGTTAGCAAATAATTAGGCTTATAAAAAATGACACACAATAGGACAGTAGTCCAAGATCCACAGTGGCTAGCAATTATTTCCATCCACTCCCTACAAAAGGAGTATGTCCTGAAAATCAGCACAAGGCAAGCTATTGTGCTATTCAGCTGTGACTGCAACTCAACTCCCTTTCCCACCCCCTTATTTCAAAGAATATAGGAAACTTACGTTGCAGGGTAGCATTCAGCATAGCTGTTTGACATCCCAAAGAAGTCACCCAGTTGCTTTTTGTCTTCAGTTTTTTTCAAAGTATCACATGTTAAGGTGAAAAAAAATTGCACTGGATGTTACCAAGAACTAAGACATCTTATGTAAGAGACTATCCGCTCAAAAAACAAATTCATGTGGAGTAGCATGGAATTCATATGGAACAGCAGAAAATTAAAAGGAAGGTTCTTGGTTAGAGATGGACACAAACCACTGTTTTGGTCAACGGCCAGACAGGTCTTCTGCCATTTGGTTTCCTGCCCCTTCTCATGGGCAACCACTTGGAGGCAGTGGCTGGAGGAGGGAAGCTGGGGCACTGCTTCTGAAGGGGTGCTTGCTGGCGGAGGCAGGACACCGAACTGTAGAACACCTGTACAGCCATCAGCCAAACAGGTACAAAATGGCAAGTCGTGCACATCTCTATTCTTGGTCAATTTAGAGTCAACCTATTCTTGTTCTTTCTAGCAAATCATATTTATTAGTGAATGGCTCATCAGTCTCATTGACAAAAATAAGAAAGACGGACCTCTCCTAAAGAATACAATGCATGGTTCTGATACATTGACTTGCCCTAACGTATGAGAAGTGGCCCCTTCAAATGAAGGTCACAGCACAGGGTTGGGAGACAAGTGTCCTTTTAAGAAGAGATTTAATCAAATAGACTAGCACAGCTTTTTTGTATTTTTTGTATCAGCCCTCAGGTTTAATGCATACATATAAAGGATATGACTCTGTCCCTTCCCAGCCACCAGCACCAGCAAACTTCTCATTAATTGATTTAATCAACTCTTTGGCTGAGCCAGGTCCTGGAAACAAGATACAAAAGCAGAATTTTTATTATTCAGACACAGAAGCAATTCTACTCCCAAAGGCAACAGCATTAACAACAATGAAAGCTGAATGCTACTTCTTACTTTAAAAAAGAAAAAAAACTTGAATGCTACAATCCAGTAGTCTATGGCACAGACACGGTCCCTTTCACACCTGCCTCATTCTTGTCTCAGTGTGAGGCAGCACTTGAACAAGTGACAACATTCTAACCCTCTCCCCCAATTTAGTGAGGCCACATCTCCATAACTACAAAATTAAATTTAAAACATACAGATACACTGAAAAAGGAATGAAGTGATCACTCCTCAAGTTATAATTGCAATATAAATTAGTTACAGTCTTCTTGTAAAGGAATAAAGGCAAAGGAGTTTATTAACATTAAACAGCTATACTGTACATTAAATAGCTCTACAGTGGTGCCTCGCTTGACGACATTAAAATTGTTCTCAAGCAAAAGTAAAAAGCCCATTGAAACCCGCTCAATGCATTCCAATGGGTGAAATACCTCAGCGTCCAGCAAAGATCCTCCATAGGGCGACCATTTTCTGGTGCCTGTAATGTGAGGAATCCGTCCTAAGCACAGCGGGGAGCCATTCTGAACAGCGGGCAGCCATTTTGAAACCCAACAATCAGCTGTTTTCTGATCGTCGTAAAGTGAAAAATCAGTTCCCGAAGCAGGGAAATGAAAAATCCCATTAAATCATCGTTTTGCGATCGCAATAGCGATCGCAAAAAACACATCATGAAGTGATTTCATCATTATGTGGGGCACCACTGTATATAACTAGACACTTTGGATTTTGCCTGATAAATTTAGACAAAGAAACAAAACAAAATGGACAAAATAATGTGGCTCAAAAAGAAACTCATATTCTTGCAAGACCACCATTGCAAGCAGCGTGATTAGAAGTCAATCCTGTTTGCGGCAACAAATTTTAACCATGGATAACAAAGAGGAACTTACCTTTATCAACGTCCAAAGGCTAAAAAAGAAAAAAAAAGGAAAAATACATTATTTTCATAACAAATTAACTAACATGACTTTAAAGAGATTAAAGAATTGAAAGTGAGTGATATGAAATCACAAGATGTGCTGGAAAAAACTGCAACATGGGCTGAGGAGCCCAAGTAGGGAAAAATAAATTTAGAGACCAAGGGGAAGAAAGTGAACAACTGAATGGCCCTCCCTCAATGTAACTGCCTCTGGCACTGAACTACAGTACCAGGAAGAATGGCTAGAATACATTTCAAAGGAGATCTTGCTTATCCAGGCCCAAAGTCAGCTCTGATATGGAAGCTAAGGCTAGGTAACAGAGGAGGCTCTGGCCTATGGGCAGAGGGATAGCAATAAAAGGTTGCTCCTCAACATGTTGTTACCTTGGCAAGGTCTATTCTTGTGTAGCTGACCCATTTCTAGACAGATGGATAGAAAAGTGTGTTACTGCTGACATGAAGATGCATCAATTTCCCTTGTCTTTCTGCCTTTTTTCAACTTCTTTATACAGAATTCACAGCTTGTCATCTCTTTGGAATGGCTGCAGGTGGATAATGGATTACCTTCCCCACCTCAGGGTGAAAACGGCTGAGAGTAGAGAGGCTTTCAAAGGAAGAGCTAGGCAGTGGCACCTTACGAATTCCATCACAACAACTATTTGGAGCTTCTGTTGGAAACAGGACAAAATGGTGCAGCTCCCTTGCATGCTAATACTTCTCTATAGACTCCAGCACATTCCCTTCCCCATCAGAAGCTTCACTCACATTCCAGATATTCACCACTGGAAAATTATGTAACAATGAGACCCAGTTTAGTCCATGCTCATCGCCTCAGCGTACTTGTTTCAACAATTTAACAAATTAATCCTCTAAAAGGATTTCATACCTATTTTTAATATGGGATATCCCAATATGGCTAGGAGTTATGCCAATTTAACTCTCAAAACAAAATACAATGACAAAACTGTTCTTCCATTTCACGGCTAAAGTTATAGCTTGTTTACCTCATCATCAGCTTTGGGTTTCTCAAAGTAGCTGTGTCTTTTCTTCTCTTCCTCACGTTCCCGTTCCCTCTCTCTGTCTCGTTCACGATCTCGCTCATGTTCCCTCTCTCGTTCTCTCTCTCGCTCACGTTCCCTGTATCTCTCACGCTCCTTCTCTCGAGGCACCTTTGCCGCAGATGGCACATAATCTCCAATGTCCTCAAAAATACTTTTTGCCAAACCAATGCAAGTGAAAAAGGCAGAAGGTTGAAATACATGAAGTTCTTGGATGAAATAAGTAACCTCTGTCAATCAGTCTCATTACCAAACATTCTAGGTAACTAAGTCACTGCTTTTTGCTAAAAGTCAAATCATTTTAAAAAATCGTACACGCCAAAACAATACTGTTACTTAAGCTGTGAAGGACAGTAGGTCAAAACTAGACCACCAGCTTGATGCCTTCCTATGAGAGCACCAACAAGATAAGAGGTTCTTGGAAAGGGCCTCAAACATAACAAGAAGAGTGCTGCTAAAGCTACGCAAGACAGTTCACTCAAAGAAAGTAGCTTACTTACTTCATGTCCGCTTCTGGTGGCTTCTTCTCATCCAGTTTTCCTGCAAATACAGAGCAATCAGAACAAGCTTTCCTCTGTGTTTACTGTTCTCCCAGAAAACAACAGAAACACTATGAAGCAGAGAAGAATTCCTGCAGGTATCTACTGCTTCTTGTGCAATATGACTTATTAAACTGCAGGTGGCTGACAGTTCAAGACTGACCTCCCCTTTACTATGTTCACACAGTCCTTATGTCTCGTTCAGCCTGAGAGATACAAATTAAGCAAGACTTGTACTAACTTCCCTCATTTTCAAGCAGTCTGTTTTCAGGCAGGGCAAAAGGCACTAGAAAAAACTGAATTCTGAGGCCCCCATTCCTACCAGTATTTTAAGAGTTTGCTCACATTTTAATAGGACTTTTCTTTTCACTAACAGGGAACCTCCCCAACCCAAAAACTGTAGGCCCACCTTTGTCCTTCTTCTTGAGCTTTTTGTTGCGGGTGCCCTGCCTCAGGTAGGAAAGAATCTGGGTAAGTTTGCTGATAACAATGTCATTTGTAGTCAGAGTGGTCTGAGCCTAGAAAGAAAATTCAAAGGAATTACAATCATAATGCATGATGTATGTCATTTGTACACATAACATGGGTAAAAAATAACTGTATTTCCATTAATTCAGAAAAAAAGCATTCAGAACCATTACCTCCATGGTAGGACAATCAGCCTTGCTTCGGATCAAAGTTGTGGGGATATCTGTGTCTGCATATTCATCATCAAGATCCACCACATAGGCCATCCTTCCTGGCAGGAACAGCTCATTCCGTTCATATGACTTATTCTTGAACAGCATCCGGTAGATGTTACGACCTAGCAAAAAAGGAGATTAATGTACCAATTCAGGCACCTAGCAACCATGGGGCATCAGTTGGAGAAAATCAGCTATTGTCTTAATCAGCAGTTCTTCACCTACATAAACCCAAAGCCACTATATCCAAACAATTCATACCTCCACTCTCTCATTATCTGAGAACAATCACAATTCCACAGAAATTGCTCAAAGTATTATACAGTATGATCACCATATAGAGAAGTTGCAAGGAAACCGCAAGTAGCCTGGAGGGGCATACTGCTAGAATGCTGTTACCCTTAAAACCTTTAGGTGTTACTTTGGACAGTACATGTGACATAAAAAAACTGCTTAAACATCAAGCATAAAGTGGCTGCCAGCAACAGTCTGTTAAGAAAACTTTCTGGAAGTGACTGGAGGAGTTGCAATCAGCACAAGCTAAACATATAGATACAGCACTTGGACACGTAGAGTTATTGCTGGGTGTATGAAGCCAACTCACAAGCTAAACATATAGATACAGCACTTGAACAGACACGTAGAGTTATTGCTGGGTGCATGAAGCCAACCCCCATAGATAAGGCACCCTATCTTGTGAATACTGCTTCACCTGAAACATGACAGGAAGTGACAGCAAAGAATGAATGATATTACAAAATGCAGCTCATCCTCTTTACGAGTACGACTCTCGAAGGAGAAACCAAGAAAGAGCTTCTTAAACACTACTACAGCATTGACAGTTCGACCAGAAGAGGCCAGACTAAGCCTGTGAAGAGTTAAATCTACTCATCTAGAGGAATAGATGGAAATCACCTGAGCAGCTACCACCAGGGAACAATGCTGGACAGGATGCATGGAAGTCTCCGAACAGATTACAAGGTTGTTATAGAGGATCTAATGACAATTTAGAGGAATGGGGATATTTTATCTGTCGGCACAACACCATACGAGTGTGGGGGGGAAATCAAATCTTGCAACATTTATATCCACGTTCATTATGTCAATGGAAAATCTTGACAAGGAAGAGATTATGTGACTGATGTAGCATGATTTTTATCCAAAATTTAATTCATTTGTTTTAACATATAATTAATCTTATATTGGTCGATTCCAGTTGCAATTTACTACTTCAAGCAGCAGGATTCCAGACATCATTGTATTTTATATGTATCTTTGTTTTGTGGTTTTATGGGTTTTTTAAACAAATATCTTATAAGTTACAATCTTTCTGTATTTTGCAACACTCTGACATGAATAAAAAATACACCACTATGTCCTAGTCAAGCGTTTGAATACATGTTAGCAAATGTTTGAAAATCCCTACCCAAACGAGACTTGAATTCAATTTTGTTTTCTGGATCTTCATCCTTTCTATTAAAAAAAAAAGGAGGGGGGAGACAAAAAAGAAATGTTAGGAAAAATGCACCTCTGTGCTACCTTTCCTTTTGTCTCAAAAAGGCCAGAGCACAAGCCAGAATTCTCTTTGAGAAAGAAACTCACTTAGTTTCTTTCTGGGGCTTTTCCATCATTTCCTCTTCTTCCTTTTCTTTGCTGGCAATCTCAGCACGGACCTGACAAGAGAGAATAGGTGGGGGCTTTCTTTTAATGCTGGTAGAAGACATTACAGGTAAAGTCTCCCATTGTATCAGAATGAGAGATAAATAACTTCAAGAATATGAATCTATCAATAAGCCTTGCTGGACTCATCAGTAAAAGGCGAAGGATTTTGGTGTTTAAAAAGATCCCAAGTTCCATACATACAAAAATTTATAAAAACAAATAAAGTATAAAGTAAACTAAACAGAACAGAAATCTAACTAAAGCATAAACACAGATGGATAAAGCCTTCCTGTAATACAGCATTACGCGGAAGACACATGTTAATGGAAACTCACTCCCCTGCACCAAATGAAAACCATCAGGTGTCCCACTCCTCTTAATCAACTTCCATCTTGAAAATATGAGTGGCCAAAGTGGCAGGGTAACCATCAAGTAATCTCTTATACAGAGGTTGACTTGTGCTTAGTTATACAACTACCATACAATTTTAGTATGGGATCATCAACAGACAATCCAAGATACCTAAAAACGATAAAGTGTCTTTAGAAACAGCAATCAATGAAAACTATTTCTAGCAGATAGCATAACCTAGAGGTGATCCAAAATTCTAGAAAATTTGATCAAGCACTGAAGAAACTCCCAGTATATTTTTAATTAAAAAGAAAGATATACACTTTGCCTTTTCTGAGCAAATTCCTTCCAATTTTTCAGGCCTTAAAAAACTGAGGCAGTTGTTAGCAAGGAAGGGCCAGGCTTGCACAAAGGAAACACAAATATGAACATAATGGATCAGCTTAGAACCCACAATAGGTACATACGTTGCTGATGTGCAACTGAATTATCTGGCTCACCTTCTGCAGCAAAGCAAAATCCAGACCCTTCACCAAGTGAGTATGCTCCATGTCACCACCCAAGAATTTGGACTCCTGAATCAACTGCCGCCTTTTTTCTGCAGCTGATTTATCCCTATGACAACAGAAAGAAGCTGTATAAAATCAGAATCTCATTGCATTGCAAACTACAAAAGCAACAACAACAATACTTACGCTTCCGCGGTGGGTCCTACTGCCCTATAGTTGGCAGTTGTGCTAATCAGCTCTGTTTCTTCATAGTCCTTATTCACACCATCTCTTCTCTCCTTGGCACGGTCTCTATACTTCTCAGCCAGCTCCCTCTCTCGCTCAATCTCTTGTTGCCGTAGCTTTGCATAGTAGCTGTCATCATAAAAACAAGTCACTTGCAGTTAAAACACGCAGACTGTGGAAGCATCAGGAAAACCAAACATCTCTTAACATGTATCTTGATTGTCACTACCCTCTCCCAGAACTGCTACATTGATTCTTTTGGCCATGAATTCTCAGCTTACACTTTCCATTCAGGTGGCCCAGAATATCTGAGTTGTCCTAATCTGAAGCGCAGGACAATTTAAAAACAACCAGCTCCATCAAGCTAACAATATGGAGGTCCTGCAAGGCTTCTGGAAAGTCTTCAAGCCAAATTCTTGACAAGCCCTTGCTTGGTGGACAGCCGGAAGTGCCATCTCTCTATAAGCTTTAGTGCTCAAGCCTCAAGAGGTAGAATCAAGACAATGTATTGGGTGAGGAGGCAGGCACCAGACACAAACCACTCAAGTCTTCATAACTAGTACTAGCTCCATGAACTATGAAGAGGGAACCCATGTAGAAACTGGAATAACATGTAGAGGGATTATGCCCTTGGACAGGAATAAATAACTAAGGCCTTGTGGATGTTTTTGGCCTACCATATCCATCAGCCCTAGGCAACATAATCAACAGTGATGGCATAGTGGACTTGTAGTCCAGCAACCTCTAGAAAGCCACCTCTGCCCAAGGGGTAGAGCGATGGCATAGTGGACTTGTAGTCCAGCAACATCTAGAAAGCCACCTCTACCCAAGGGGTAGAGCATGTATTCTACATACAAAAGGTTACTAGTTCCATCTGTGTCAGCTTTAATTATTCAATGGCAGTTTTATATGTTCTCAGCAACCTATCTCCAGGACGAGGCAAACTGCACCAGCTCCCGATTCTGCAGGCATGTTATCAATGCTCAGTAACATCAAATCAAATGCAACAGAAGCAATTTTTAAAATCAGTTAGTATTGTTTTTCTTTTAATCTCCAGATGACTCACTGACTGAAGTCATTACAAATTCAGTGCCATTTGCAGAGTGACGGATAAACTAGTCTAAGTCTATAAAGCAAGAGCATTCAGGTGTGTCCACGGCCACCATCACAAACACAGAATGGTCCAGGCCCTCTTTTTTTAAAAAAGAGCACAAGTGGTAATTCCATGGAAATTTTTATCAAAGTATAAGTTTTTTCCTTTCAAGGTGAAACGTCTAGAATCATCAACCGTACGTCAACTGAGAAGCCAGCCAAAGGCCCAGCTTCTTTTAGCTGGCTTTTACAGAGGGTACCTTTTTTTCTTTCTTCTGCGGGCAGCTGGATCTTCATCTTCATTGTATTCACGAGGCATCCTAAATAGTAGAAGAATATTACATTTTGACAATAGCAAATATTATAAAATAATAAAGCAGAAAGGCATTTTTCAAGGGGCAGCTAACAATATGTCTGATGTAAGTAACTAAGTAACTTCATTTTTTCTGAATATGCCTGATCCCTGTAATATCCTTGACTCAATCAAGGGAAGCTGAAAATAGTCATAAAGACCTTCAGAACAAAAAGCTTTTAAAATTACATATACATTTTAAAAGCCAGTATATTTTTTCACAGTATTTACAATTTTGGGTCAAGATATAAAACATAGCAGAAGAACTACTGCATGATCATGTATAATAAACACCACACTAAGAAAGCAGAAATTCTGCTATGCCTCCCTAGGGAAGCATAGATAAAGGTAAAATAGGGAAGCATACTCTACATAAATAAATAAAAAAATACTGCTTCAGACTCACTGATTTAGACAATGTGGATTAAATGCTTTCAACACACTGAAGCATCATCTTATAATGAATTATGATTACCATCATTCCAGGTTCAGTTTACTAGCTCAGTTGCCTTCCACTTTTTAATGCAGTTTCTTTCTTCACTAGGCACAGTATATAGAGAAAATTATTTTATTTATTTGATTTATATCCCGCCCATCTGGTATATTCTGGTAAATTAGTTTCTACAACTAAATATTAGAAAAAATATGCATTGAGGGAAAGCACAATTATGTTTTCTTAAGAATTGCAGAAAGAATATGCTTACTCATGATGGCGAGATTTGGAAGGTGGTGCAGATGTTGGTGCTGCCCGTGGGGTCATAAGAAGCTTGCGGAAGTCTTCATTGGTTAGTTTAGATCTGCAATGAAAGCAATTGTATTTTATTGTTGAAAAAACACCACAATGCAATATCCTGCATTAAAAAGATCATGTTGCATGGTGCAGTGCACAACAGAAACCCCAAATGCTTCTTTATCATATTCATATGCTGTACCTACTTCTGTGGGACTGAAACAGCTTTAGAACTCCTACAAATAAGAAAGTATTAACGGGGCCTTCCTCCACCAACTGTAATTTACAGGTTACCCAGGAAGTGGAATAAGAAACAAAATGGCTAGTGTCGAATAGTGCAGCATGAATTGTTTACTACTTCTGATTTTGTTATATTTTATTTTCCCATCGTCAACCACCAGTCCTTAGTTCATGATTTTCTGGCATCCAACAGTGGCCCATAATTTTTCACTCACCGTGGTAACTAAGCTAAAATTCACTGCTGCCCAAGTCTCCTTTCTCTGATCTTTCCCTGTTTCAGCATGAGGTCAGGGATAATCTCTACTCACTCAGTTCCACCTTTTGAGGTGGGAGGAGAAGAGAGTTACAGTAATACAATTTTGCTGGGGTTCTGTATTCTATTAGAACTGAGAGGGCAATGGAAGACACAGTTACGTGCTGGAGTGGAGGATGAGGGTAAAGGTGAGTTAAATTCGTAAGGAATGGAGTGTTTGGGATTTTGGTTCTATTTGGTGGGATTTTTACATTATGGGACCAAAATGGAGAGATAGTGATAAATAATTATGGTTAAAACATTGAAATATTCAACTTTAAATGTAAAAGGTCTAAGGAGTGTTATAAAAAGAAAAGGAACAGAGGTGCTGTTAAATAAAGATAAAATTGGTATAGCATTTTTATGAGAAATTGATCAAATAAAAGAATGTGTAAATGAATTTACATTAACCTGGTCTGGCATCTATGAGAACACTCATGGAAATTTAAGGTCAAGAAAGGTTGCAACCATTTTTTTAAAAATCTGAATTTAAATTTAATAATATGAAAAAAGATGAATATACCTTGATTAATGTTTACTCTCCAAATAAAAGTCAAGCCTTTGTGTTTAATGAACTGGAAGAAATATGGAAGCGGTTTGTAATAATGGCAGGGGATTTTAATATTGTATTGGATGAAGAGAGCGATAAATCAAAATTTACTTCAAAGGAGTAAATTCACAATATTAGAGCTCTGAATAAAATTATAAGAAGAACTGATTTGAAAGATGTTTGGAATAGTTGGAAGGAGATGTAAAGAAGTTTTTTTTATTCCTCAGTGCACAGAAGTTACTGTAGGTCAGATTTTATATTTGTGTCTAAAGATTTGATTTCGAGAGTGATTAATATTGATGTTGATATTACAGAGGTAAATGACCATGCCTTATTGAATATTGATTTGTCTGTGTCAGAATACAATAAAATGTTTTACTCACTGATGAAATGAATGAGAATCATCCATCTCATGGCCATCTGGAGCCAGAGGATTGGAGAACGGTTCACCTAGAAAGAAAAGTATAGATTACAAGTCAACAAAATACACACGCTATACTGTGAAACCTCTATGCATATTACTCACATCATCTAGACACAAACACACATTTTTTCAGAAATTATATGATGCCCCCTGAATGTCTTAAGTCTCCCTGGGATCTCCTTCTTTGTAGGGAATCCAGTGAGGGCCATAGGAAGTTTAGGAAGTCTTTAACTTCTGAAAAATCACTGCTGCCAGAATGATTTTACCAGAAGCATCTGTTTTTGGAAATTAAAGACTATTCCTCTCCCATTATCCCTAATGTCTTCCCAGTGATGAGATTATTCAAAGGGAGCCAAAGGACCTTTGGGGGAGAGGGGAATTAGAAATCTTTATTTCAAAAAAAATCACAATGGCTCATGACATAATCAGCTTCACAAGGCATAAACTGCTCAACAGGATTTTAGGCACTGAAGCCCAAGGTTGGAAACAGCAAGAAGCTCTTGGATAATCACTGGCCCAAAGCTAAAACATCAACTTTTTAGTCATCTGGAGATCAATCAAACTGTATAATCCAGCCTTATTGTGTCACAAGTACTAGTTAGTTAGTTAGGCATCCTTCAGTCTCGCTAGAACATAACAGAAAACTGCCTTATGAAGTGATTATAGAAAACTATCACAAAATGTCCCCATCTTATTCTTTCTATAACTTTTACAAACTTATTTGAAACTGAATTCAGTCACAGAATCTTTGCACCTCTTTCTTTAAAATACATAGCTATTTTCTTTACCACATCACTTGCAGCAAATATATTTGCATACTCATATGCTTGCAAAGTAATCCTGCAACCTTTTCCTTGGGGTCCTCCCTGGTATACAAGCGATTTTCCTGTCTGAAAACAGCATTCTCTCCCTGCAGTGCACACGAAACTTAAGAAACGTGTTGTTTGAATTTTGCAGCAAGCTCTCAGGTCATGATGAGGCTGAACAGGGATAGCCAAGTGTCGCATATAAAATGAAACTACTATTTTGCTAAAATAGGACTGGGGCTGATGTGTTTTACATGGTCTCTCTCCACCCCCACCCCAAATATTTTACCTTTATTCTATTCTGAACTGGGGCTGCCCTACTATTCCATAAGTAGGGCAGCCCCAGTTCAAGTAAGCCTCCTTAGTGGTGCAGAAAGACTAAGCACCAGCGAAACCCACATTTCCAGAACACTGGGCAGAATCCTCGTTGGTGTGTCTGTACCATGCAGTCCCTCCAGACAGAACAAGTCGCCTCCTGTGCTGCTTTCTAACATCCACTTATTTCCGAACAGACGGGAGCGCCTTCAGACTCTTTTTAGCCCCCCAAAAAGAAAAGAGACCCCAAATCTCACGGGGCCACCGCGGGAGAGGAACGCCCGCCCCTGCCAGAGATACCCGAAAGACGGAAACAGGGCGAAGGGGCAAAAGGCACGCCTTTCCCCCNCCCCCCCCCCCCGGCGATACTCACTGTCCCGCTCCGGCATCTTGGCTTCGATCCCCCCGCGATTAGCGGCCCCGAGTCGAGAAGGAAAACAACAAGACGGCGGAACGCTTCCTTCTTCCCACAAGGCACCGCGCGTCAGACAGGCGGGGGGGGCGCGGAAAAAGAGAAGAATGGACCAGAGCGGCGGAGGAGAGAATAGGGCGCCACCCACAATGCACTGCGCCGACATTTAGGGGGAGGAGGCGGCCCTTCGACCAATCCGGTTCCTTGGCTAGACAGTTTCCGGTTTCGGAAGCCACGGCATTGAATCGCCCGTGTGGTACCGGGTGTGGTGGGTTGGGGGTGAAAAACGAGTGCAGAAGTCCAGCATTTTAGCATCCACGCTCTTTCTAACTGATCTTATTTCATGTGATCTTAAATTTAAAACTGGGGGAAACCTCCTCAACCAATGCCAATTGCAACAAAGGCCATATTGCAGGCTGGGGAAATGGGAGAGTGGTTTAACAACAGGCATGTTACTGCAGTTTCACGATGAGGCTGGCTGGGGGTGATTTGGGTTTACAGCCGAAAACCTAATTCATAGGCTGCCACGAAGATCTTTTCCTTAAATTGCCTCTTCCATTCTTTACACCCAAATCCAGTAGGCTTGTGTTTTCCTCGTATGTGTGCATATTTGCTTCACTTTGAGGGAAAAAAAAGAATTAAAATGTGCTTTAACATAAAAATATTTGGGGTCAGAAACAGGATGACCGTCTGCCTTTGTTAATGCGATTTGTTTCTGAGAAAGCCTCCTCCGGCAATCCTATCATAGCTGTTCTCCACTGCTAAAATCCGAAATTCTCCAGTGTTTTCAGTACACTGCTCTCTGTAGCTCCAGGGTAAACGGGAGGGAAGTTGAGAAGAACCGCGATCTTCTAACCCTCTGCGTCATTCTGTTCCTCTTATGTTAGAACCCCAACGTTGCTTCTCCTCGTTCGGGGTCTGCGGGGAGGAGCGCCCGCCGCCGCTCTTTTTCAGCACCAGCACGGAGGGCAGTTCCCCCACGACACTTTGCATGGGCACGCCCCCTCTTATGCGAGCACGCGGATTGGCCAGAGGCTTCTCCAAGACACGCCCAGAAACAAGGGCGACCGTTGGGGCTGAAAGTCAACATGGCGGCTGCCTCGGTGCGGGCCATTGGAAGCAGCCTGGGCCGGAACCTCAAGGAAATACGGATCCACCTTTGCCAGCGCTCGCCGAGCAGTCAGGGCGTCAGGTAGGGAAGGAGGTAGTCGGGAAAGGGAAGCGGCTTGTCCCTCCCCGCCTTCAGGCATGGGCAGGATTGGCACTGGCTTTATTTGTTTGATTTCTTCCCTGCCTTTCTCCAGGGAGGAAGGGCGCAAGGCGGCTTAACTCTACTATCCCCGTTGATGTTGTCCCTTACACCGTGATTTTTTTTCCCTTCCGGAGAAACAGTGTCCTCATGCCCTAAAACGCCAGATCAAGCTCTCCCCTGCCAGAGGTGGGCAACTTAAATGGTCGTGGCCAGAGTGGGACTTGAAAGGCCAACCGTATTTGAAGGGCCACACTTTTGGTGTTCCTGTCCTCAGGTCTGGCGACACTGCCCTCAGCCTATGGCCAAAAAAACAAAACAAAAAGCTGTAAGATGACTGTTACTTAATATGAGAGTTACCTGATAGGTCGAACCATTTTATCCTATTATAACCTTATGTAGTAGAATAGGTCGAGTGTGATGGATACAGGGTCATTCAGGGAGACTGAACAGGTTCCCTTCCTGCTTTAGCTCCATGCTGATAATTGCTTGGGGTGCTGTTCACACATACACATTAAATGTTGCCATCTGATGCAGGTGGAATCCAAATACCATGGGATTCCCCCCCCCCCGCTTCTTTGGGAATAAGATTCTTGCTGAATGTGGTTCAATAACTAATTCAGTGGAGTAATTCTAATCACATCTGATTTGGTACTGACCCTCCCCCCCTTATATGCACTTCAATGGCAGGTGTAGCAGAGCTGCAATCCAGGAGATAGTTGCATTGCTATTTACACCGGATATTTAAAGATCCTGTGTTCAGTACTGTAAATGTGTAAATATGTCAAGTATGTTAAAAAGTAAGCTCCTGCAGTTTGCTTAGTTCTAGAGCAAGTGGGCAACATAGGACCCTCAACCAGCCGTGTTGTAACAGCTGTAAGTCTGCTGCTTGCCCTGAACACAGATTTGCAAAGTTAAGACAGAGAGCAAGGAACACAGGCTTCTATAGAGCCACAGTTCATATTTTCAGTTTTGTTGTATCACCTTCAAGTAACAAAGACCATAGCTTGGGTTTCTGTCCATATGTTGTGTTAACTTGAATGTTTATGCTCAAACGTCGCTTATTGCTTTAGTACAGAGGCTTTAAAAATTCTGTGGATCAAACAGCCTGAGACTTTTGAGAAATACAGTACAGTACTGAGTTCTGCAGTGAGAAGGAATCAAGCTTCCCTGAAACATAGCTTACTGGTTACTATGTACTCCTTTGTAATCTGGAACTTTGTCGAATGTATTCTAGGCTGCATTCAAAGTTGCTGTGAGGAAACAGGACTTTGATGTCTTCTGCATCAGGTGAACTGATGCTGAAAGTAGTTTCTGAAGATGTAGTGCTTGTAATTTGGTGAACTGTGTCGTACTTTTCATGAGGGCCATGACCCTACCACAGTGTGTTCCTAGAAAGTTGAGTGACCTTAAGGAACTTAAGTCTTATATATGCTGGTGTGTGCTCTCTTCTTTGCAGAGATTTCATTGAACAACACTATGTTACTTTAAAGAAGGCAAATCCAGAGTTTCCTGTTCTGATTAGAGAGTGTTCAAATGTGCAACCAAAGCTCTGGGCTAGATATGGTGAGTTGGTGAGGACCGTCCTACAGAGTTTACTGTTGTACATAAGGTGGAATCACAGATCACTGTTGTGTGGAGACTTGAAATACCATGTTCTATTTAATTGCATGAACAATTGTTATGAATTCCCACACACACACCTTTCCCCCCGACTGGCAGAATTCCAAGGTCACCAAGATATTTTTCAGAGCAGCTTGGCCAAACAAATTTCTTGCTCTTTCCTTATGACAGACCCCTAATCCAAGTCTATTTTGTCCAATTTCATCTCCCAAACCAACTTGACCTGGTTGAAAAATATATTGTAAAGAGACATCTACAGGTGTCAAATATTAGTTGAACAATTTACATGAAGTATTAATGAGAACAACAAGGATGTGGTGGCGCTGCAGGTTAAACCGCAAAGCCTCTGGGCTGCAAGGTTGTAAAATTTAGCAGTTCGAATCAACGTGACGCAGTGAGCTCCTGTTGCTTGTCCCAGCTCCTGCCAACCTAGCAGTTTGAAAGCATGTAAAAATGTGAGTAGATAAATAAGTACCACTACGGTGGGAAGGCAACGGCGTTCTGTGTCTAGTCACACTGGCCACATGACCACGGAAACTGTCTACAGACAAACGCTGGCTCTATGGCTTGGAAACGGGGATGAGCACTGCCTCCTAGAGTTGGACATGACTGGACTAAATGTCAAGGGGAACCTTTACCTTTATTAATGAAAACAGTACTGGCACTCTAGGGAAAATATTTCAATGTCAGCTACAAAATGTTTTCTATTCATTATCTTAATCCATACTGACACTTTGGACCTGTTACTTCTCTGCAGCAGCATAGTAGATGGGAGAGGGATATATGTGCAGCCCCGAAAGGAAAACTTAACACATTGGCAAAACAAGTAACTCTGTCTCTCCCACTCCAGTGGGCTGTAGTTTTACACAGTGTATCCCACTCTTTTCTTCCAAATAGGAATTCCAGAGTGATTATTTACATTATAATAATTATTTAGAAATCCAGCAAAGCTCCTGAATGCAATATCTTCAATTTAGTTCTTATAGTAATCAAAGCATTAATTGACCATGACTTAATTTGCACTGTGGACTGAGGATCAATGGCAGTGAATCATAAGGAGAAATGATACCTTCTGTAAGCAAACAGGAATTCAGTATAGTTTCAGCTATATAAACTTACAGGGTACTGGACAGTTTCTGTCAGTCAGATTATCCAACTACAGATGTGATGTGTCATGCAAAATAGGCTCCTAAAGTCTGAGACAGCAGAGATTAACCTATTGTGGAAAATGACCAACCTGTACCTGTGCTAAGGGTCTAATGAAATATACTCTTCACAATTGAGACCGTTAAAACAGTGTTGGTCAAATGGTGAGATTAATATGTTTTGGGTTTTTTGGTGGGTTTTTTTTTTGAGAGCAGGATTCCTCCCATGTATATGTACACCTAGAGGCTATATCAATAGAAATTATAAATGCATGAATTTGAAATTATCATTTTTAAAAGCCCAGTCCATTGTATCTCTCTCATTCAATTCTTGTTTTTCTCCAGCATTTGGCGTAGAGAGGAGTTTGCCCCTGAACAACCTAAATGTGGACCAAGTTGCCAAAGCGCTGGAGAATGCTGTTAATAACAGGCTATAAAGATACTGCATAGTCCTGCATTTAAATCTAGATGTAGATGTATGTAACTTATGTATTAAAGAAAGTATTTCAGTCCAGCGGCTCTGTGTCTTATTTTAACCAAGATGATCTCTTGAAGACTGATTCTCCTCATGCTGTTTCCAGTTTTTGTCCAGACAATCTAGCTTACAGAACTGTAAACTTCATAGAACAAGAAACCCACAAAATACTAGGAATATTCTTATTCGCTGTTATTATCCTTCATACTACATTCTGAGTCAGGTTTGCCATCAGCTGGTGCAGTTGTTCTTCATCTGTCACTGTCCCAACTCTGTAAAGAATTGAACTGTGTCCTTTATCTGAAGCAACAAGGGGTCAGTTGAGGGAGGGAGCACCTAGTTCACTGACAGTCTGAATGAGTGCCTTGACTCGCTCTTGCAGCTGTAGGTTGTTGAGATGCTGCTGTAAGGCCTGTGGTCCTGCTTGAGCTACAAAGTCAATGGCAGCCTGAGCCAAGAGAGAAGAAAAAGACCAGAGTTATCCTTGCGGTTGCCTGTTCGGCTTGAGTTTTCACCAGATGTATTATATGCAAATTTCTACCTCTGGACAGTGAAGAAAGAGGAGATGCAGTAGTTCCAGAATCTGACCCACCACTTCAGTATCTGAAAGGGCAAGGATGCCAATGAGAGGCAGAAGCACAGCTTTCTTGTAGAGTGTCTGGCAATAGACAGCACCCTTGGCAGCTGTGTTACACAGCACAGTTAGGACCTGAAAAAGAAGATGGAGCCAGAGATTGGTAGTTTGTTCATTTAGTTTTCACTATGCTTTCAAGGAACTTTATATAATGTTGCTTACACAGATCTGTCTTCAGTGCTTCCTTTATCAAGATGCAGAGGTCAGTGTCAGTCAGTGGTACTCACAGAACTTCATACTTGGTTGAAATGGCCCTGCATTTATCATTTAATATGCTTGAGCAGAAAAATGGCATGTCTTCTCAGTAAACATGGTTCCATTACTAGAATTTATACATCCAACAGAGTCTGTTTAGTCTCCTGATGAGTAAATTATACAATCAATTGCTTGTAGTGAATTTCAACTCAGATGTTACAGAAGGATATATATGCAACATGGTGAAGTGCTGCTTAAAAAAAAATCGAGAGTTCCAACGATGAACGAACCAGGGAAGCAAACGAGCATGCTGCCTGTCTCCTTGCATATTAATTATAGATCATTTTATAATGACTAAAGAAGGCTTAAAACTTCCATAGATTAACACAATAGTTTGATTCCTTCATGATTTTTTTGGCCACATCTGAGATATATATATGCAACATGGTGGCCAAAAATACTGGCACCCTTGCAATTCTGTCAGAAAATGCAACCCTTATCTCAGAAAATTGTTGCAGTTGCAAGTGTTCTACTACTCACATGTTCACTTCTTTGGTTTGCGTTAGAAGAACAAAAAACAGAAGTCGAATCTGATACAATCCCACACAGATACCCCAAAATGCACTGGCCAAAATTATTGGCACCTTGTCTAAATTGTAAGAAATAATTGCTTTTCTAACATGTGATGCTCCTTTAATTTGTACTTAGACACACCTGTCGCAGGTAAGAGTTGTGGGCAACTTGCAACCTATTAAGATGGAGAAAAGTTGACTCAGCCTTTGTGTTGTGTGTGACAGTGAGCATGGAGAAAAGAATGAAGTGTAAAGAATTGTCTGTGGATTTGAGAGAAAAATTGTGGAAAAACATCAACAATCTCAAGGCTACAAGTCCATCTCCAGAGAGCTTAATGTTCCTGTGTCTACTGTGCGCAATATCAAGAGGTTTACAGCCCATGGCACTGTAGCTAACCTCCCTGGCCGTGGACGGAAGAGCAAAATTACAACAAAGGGTTGTTCGAATGGTGGATACTGAACCCAGATTAACTTCCAAACAAATTCAAGCTGATCTGCAGACACAGGACAGAACAGTGTCAGCTTGCACTATCCGTCACCATCTGAATGAAAAGGGATGCTATGGAAGGAGACCCAGGAAGACACCACTGCTAAAAGAACGGCATAAAAAAGCAAGACTGGAGTCAAAACGTACGTGACAAAACCAGAATCTTTCTGGGAGAACGTACTGTGGACAGATGTGACAAAAGTAGAGCTTTTTGGTCAAGGATATCATGGCACTGTTTACAGAAAAAGAAATGAGGCATTCATAGAAAAGAACATAGTCCCTACAGTCAAACATGGTGTAGGTTCAAAGATGTTTTGGGGCTGCTTATGGCACTGGATGAACAGTATCATAACATCTTTTGATTACCAAAGAAGTTTGAGACACAACGTAGTGGCCAGTGTCAGAAAGCTGTGTCTCCACCAGAGGTCATGGGTCTTCCAGCAGGGCAATGACCCGAAACACATTTCAAAAAGCACTCAGAATTGGTTACAAACAAATTACTGGAGAGTTCTGAAATGGCCAACAATGAGTCCAGACATGAATCCCATAGAACACCTATGGAGAGATCTCAAAGCAGCGGTTGGGAGAAGGCATCCTTCAGATCTGAAGGCCCTGGAGCAATTTGCAAAAGAAGAATGGTCCAAAATTCCAGGATGTGAGAGAGGTGTAAGACACTCATTCATGGTTACAGGAAGCGATTGATTTCAGTTATTTTTTTCCAAAGGGGGTGCTACCAAATATTAAGTTAAGGGTGCTAATAATTTTGGCCAGTGCATTTTTGGGTTTCTGTTTGGGATAGTATGACATTTCTTCTCTGTTTTCTTGTGTTGTTCCAACGCAAACCAAAAAAATGAACACATGAGTACTAAAACATTTGCAACTGCAACAATTTTCTGAAAGAACGGTTGCATTTTCTGACAGAATTGCAAGGGTGCCAATATTTTTGACCATGACTGTATGTATCCTTCCCCTACAATTTCAGATGTTTTCCTGCCCTGTTTTCTAGTTTAATACAATCTGTCATAATAGAGAAAAAAGTCTTTTAATGTATAATTTTAACTCAAAATTTACTCAGACACAGTCAAATTATCTAGTCTGAACTACCTCTAAAGAGTTAAAGACACACCTTTTAAATCTCCCAAGTTCCTCCCTAAAACCTCACTCCCAGAGAGGAGAGGGTAAGAGAGCCTTGAGGATCAGAGAGAGTGAAAGTGGTTTGGGGTTCAGTGTCTTAAGTAGAAGCTTCTCAAGGCACTGGGTAAGTTGGAAGTTAGCTTTTCCTTTTTCTTCAGGAGGGAAACTGAGGAGGAAAGCAAAGCTAGCTGTGAACTCGGCTTGAACCAATCAGCTAAACCCGTTCATGTGCCATCCCCAGAAAGCTTCTCAAGAAAGAACTTCTCAACGTGTCAGCTGAATCCACTGCATGATGGGGTGGGGTGGGGAGACATATAATATAAATTTATTTGAAAAATAAAGACAGATTGGATTGGTTGAATACAATGAATACAATGCCTTGTGCATACAAGAATAGTTTTACCAAGTCTTGTCCTTATCTTTACACTTAACTTTGACATTAACCCTAATGATTATTAGAAGGAGTTTAACTGCAAAATCCTAGAAAAGAATGGAGATAATGACAATGTGGTTGTATTTTGTTCCTCTAGTTAGTGGAAACCTTGCCAAAACTGAATTCAACAGTCTTGTTAGGGGCATGGTGGATGAACAAAAATTGGTATATAGATCAAAGAAATCAATAATGTGAAATAATTAAGACACTTTTGCACTTTCATTGTATTGGGATGCATCAAGAAAGATAGTAGGTACCTTCCTAATATTAGTTTGTTCTAATGCTGCCATATTTTTCTGTTTATAACACACCCCAATTTATAAGAACCCCCCCCAAAAAAAATTCCAACCCCAAAATTAAGAAAACTTAGCTTGATGGTAGTTTTTGCAATGTGTGTGTGTGTAGTTGTGCATGGATTTTTTGCTTTGGTTTTGTTTTATTTGGCTCTCACTAGATCCAGAGACTGTTCACAAGAGGCTTTTTTAAAAAAAACAAGTTAGGCCCTCTCAATCAGACTTGCAGGATATACTTCACTTTTTATACTAAATGTCAAGGTCAATTCTTAAATAACTAGTCTTTATGACTACAACAAAGGTTTTTAGTTATACAAAGAACACTTCCTATAATCTATAATGTATATGAAAGCAGAACAGTTTTTACTGTTCGGGCAGAAGATCCTTCCATAATTTATCCTTTCCATAGTCTGTATGTTGCCTTGGCCTGAAGCCTGTTTGTAACTTAATCTCTTTTCAGGCTCTGAAGATGTTTAGAGGAAAACACCCAGCCTCAGCCCATCACTTCATGATCACAGTGCCAGGTCTGAACAGGAGAATAATCCTGCCTCCGTGCAGATGCTACATGTGAGCAGGAATCCAGATATTCCAATGTTCTTGCTCCTGTGCAGACTACAAGCAAGCAAGAAACTCTTCTCCAGAACCAGCATTGTAACTGTGAAGAACATGACAATAGAAAGGTGTAGGGGTAAATGTTGCTATCTAAGCAGCACACAGCACCAGGCTGAACAACATCTAAACAGGGTTTCAGTATCAGCCACAAATTGCTCTCCATGAAAAGCTAGCTGTTCCCATCAGGTCTGGGCAAAGTGAATGACATTTAAGAATCACAAGGATTTCTTACAGGCAAAAATTATAACCCTGATCAATATTGTCACCTACCAGCAAATTCACCATGTGGTGAGAACTTAAAAGCTGCAATAAAGGTGGAAAGAGGTCCAGGTTGAGCAGAGCACAGCATGATGTGGTACTGTCAGCTGGAGAAAAAAACAGTTTATAAAATTAAACAACCATCCCTAACATTCTGAAAACAACAAAAAAGGGGGTACCTCTGTAAATACAGTATATAAAGAGGAGAATTGCAGCATCCATAGAGTAGGTAGCTGAAATAAGCTTAGATCTCACTAATTTATCTTTCCCCCACTCACTCACTCTTACACATCCTGCTATGGATGGCATGTTATCTAACTTTTTGGTCCAAAGAGCTGGGTTATTAAGCCTTTCCACAAGACATAGCGATTAACAATCTACTCTTACTACCACCAAGGCTACTGCTATTTTAATGTTTGAAAGAGCCTGATAGTTATAATAAAGTAGCAATAGCTGCCTACAATGCTTCCTTTCACTGAAAGCAACTCCTGAGACATGCATTCAACAGACATACCTGTGAGGTTGTTGATGAGCCATAAACACTCCTGGACAATAAAGAGATGTTTGACAAAAAAGTACTGTATAAAAACAAATAAGACCCTCAGAAGGCACTCTTCGTCTGCTACTAGCTGACCAACAACTGCCCCATCTTCCGCAAGAAGATTGGCAACGCAACGCACCACAGGACAGAGCAACTAAAAATGGAAGAGGAAAAGATGTATTCAGAAAGAGAATCAAAATTACAACTTGGCAAGTCAAATAGACTTCTCTTGTATTTTACCAATTCCAGACCCTCAGTGGAAGTGGTTGATAGCATAGAAGCCAGTTCTACCAATAGCTGTACTAGGGACGGTACAATCCTCTGGGAGATAAGCAGTGAATTGTTCACCTGGCTATAGAAAGAAGAAGGACAAGATAAGTATCCTGCTTCAATAGGGTAAAAGTGTATCTTATCTCTCTTCATGCAGCCTAACATACTTTTTCCTTCCATTCAGATCGCTCAGTGTTCAAAAGAAACCACTTCCTAATACTCAGAGGCAAGGTAGAAGGGATGGAATGTCAGAGATGTGTGGTGCAGGGAAGAACAGTCATCCAAAACAAACTTATTTGTCTATTTGGTTTTGTAGCTTGATCATTTTTATCAACAAGAGTCTAAACTAAATCTTACATCTGTTCCTCATCTGTAAAATAATAGATCTGCCTCACACGTTGGAAATTGTGTCAGAGGTAGGCTTGGTTACAAGGCTATAGGTCAGAGAGGTATGCAAGTTACGATTTTGCAACTTGTGTTCTGCTATGCAAAACCATATTTACCTGCAAATAATGTAATGAAGACCCCATGCACATTCCACTGCAGCTCCTATTCCTTCTTCTATGTTGGAACAAACCAAGTGAAGCATGTCTTGGGGAAGAGTGGAATCTAAGATTAAGCTGGAAGTAGAAAAAAAGATTAATTTTAGTTGCAATACATACAGTATGCATTGTTAGCAGGTCCCACTTTACTCCATGGGGATTACTCACTAGCATTTTACTGAAGAGTAAGTTTCAGTGTTTACACAGCAAATAGTTACCATCTAACAAGAGCTATGTTGGAAAATTCTTACTTCTACACCTCAAATTATTGTTGTTTTCCCCCCTTAATCATTAATTGAAATTTTATGGATAGCATTTATTTTTTATTTTATAAATATTTATAAAATAATTATTTATTTTATGGCAGTATTTTTATTATTAGATTCGTTCTCCTTTTTCCTTTTTTTTGGTATGTTATTACTAGCAGCGCTAGTAATATGGTGACAACTCTAAGTAATAGGATTCTAGCCATTAACTGTCTTTGAACATAAAGTATCAAATACTGGGGTAAAAATTATGGTGCTCTGACCTGTTTCAGATGTGTGTCTTAAACATCTCAATTTGTGCGCACACATAAAAAGCTTCTTAGTTTACATATGGTATCTACAGTACCATGCACATTTGCATTATCTCCAAACAATTTTTCCATTAGTAAATATGTATCTCTTAAGTTCAAAGTATAAGTGGCTCCTTGTTCCTAGTTTAGCAATTGCATTTATGATTTTTCCAGTAGCGATGTATGGAAGTGAGAGCTGGACCATAAAGAAGGCTGATCGGCGAAGAACTGATGCTTTTGAATTGTGGTGCTGGAGGAGACTCTTGAGAGTCCCCTGGACTTCAAAGAGAACAAACCTATCCATTTTGAAGGAAATCAACCCTCACTGGAAGGACAGATCCTGAAGCTGAGGTTCCAATACTTTGGCCATCTCATGAGAAGAGAAGACTCCCTGGAAAAGACCCTGATGTTGGGAAAGTGTGAAGCCAAGAGGAGAAGGGGATGACAGAGGACGAGATGGTTGGACAGTGTCACTAAAGCTACCAACATGAATTTGACCCAACTCCGGGAAGCAATGGAAGACAGGAGGGCCTGGCATGCTCTGGTCAGTGGGGTCACAAAGAGTCGGACACAAGTTAACAACTAAACAACAACATTAGCCAACTGAATCTACAAATTCGTTATGTCTAGTTTGCAGCTCCTCACTATCTACTTCAAAAAGTCTGCCGCATTCTCCACTATAAGATGCTGTCTAGGTTTGTCATTGCTTTCCTCTCAAGAAGCAGGCCTCTTTTAATTTTGTGGCTGCTGTCACCATCTGCAGTGATCATGGAGCCCAAAAAAGTAAAATCTGTCACTGCCTCCATATCTTCCCCTTCTAAATACCAGCAGGCCCTCGTTGCTTTCTTGCATTTCTTTTTGTTTGGGATGGTTTTTGTTGCTGCCTCCTCTACAATGTCACACCCCTCCATCCATAGTTCTTCAAGCACTCTGTTCACCAAATCAAGTTCCTTAAATCTGTTCTTTCTTCACTTCCACTGTGTATTCATGAGGGATTTGGTTTAGATTATACATGACTAGCCCAGTGGTTTTTCCTACTTTCTTCAGTTTAAACTTGAGCTTTGTTATAAGAAGCTGATGATCAGATCCACAATCAGCTGCAGGTCTTGTTTTTGCTGACTGTATAGCGCTTCTCCATCTTTAGTGGCAGAGAACATAATCTGATTTCGATATTGCCCATCTGGTGATGTCCATGTGTACAGTCGCCTCTTGTGTTGGTGGAAAAGAGTGTTTGCGATGACCAGCTTGTTCTCTTGACAAAATTCTTATTAGCCTTTGCCCTGCTTCATTCTGAACTCCAAGGCCAAACTTACCTGTTGTTCCTTTTATCTCTTGACTCCCTACTTTAGCATTCCAGTCCCCTAGAATGAGAAGAACATCTTTCTTTGGTGTCCGTTCTTACAACAAGAAGGTGTTGTAAGTCTTCAAAAAATTGGTGAATTTCAGCCTCTTCAGCATTGGTGGTTGGGGCACAAACTTGGATGACTGTGATGTTGAAAGGTCTGCCTTGGATTCGTATTGAAATCATTCTATCATTTTTTAGACTGTATCCTAGTACAGCTTTTCCCACTCTTTTGTTGACTATGAGGGCCACTCCATTTCTTCTACAGGATTTTTGCCCACAATAGTAGATATGACAATCATCTGAATTGAATTTGCCCATTCCCGTCCATTTTAGTTGGCTAATAGTTTGTTGTCATCCTGTATATGTGATTTTTTGTGTATGCCAATAAAGGTTCTGACTGACTGACTATTACATTTGATTGTATTGGAAGACAAATCCTACTTACGGTACAATTTCAGTTTGTGCTTCCCTGGATTGCAAGAGTTGTGAAAGAACGTAGCCAACACCTTCCTGCACCACCACATAAGGAGACTAAAATCAGAAAACACAGCACTCATCATTCAATGGTTCAGTCAAAGGCTTCATACAACCCAAGGCAGAAGAAAAACCAATGCAGAAACAATTCTACCAGGAGAGATTGAGATAGCAATAACACTGCAGGGAGGACTGTGCGAAATGCTACAAGAGTTGTCCAAGTCCACTAAAATATCTGGAAACACAGTGGAAATGTGTTGTGTATTTTGTAAACAAATACACACAGTCAATGAAAATATCAGAGATCCTACTATATTCATTCAGAATCTTCTTAGGAAGCTGTAAATTGGATCCTGAGTGAGAACAAGAAAAGGTGCAAGCCACTCTCTACAATTCACTTTATCCAGTATCAGGACAAAGCAAAAGACAGTTCCCTATAAGACTTGCTATGTGACTAAGAGATGCTATTTACTTTAATAGACTATGAATAATAAAGAACTAGTTCATAAAGAACTAGTTCATAAAGAACTAGTGTTCAAGGTGCCTAGGAAAGGCTGTGTTGACCATGTACCTTGATAATAATATTTACATGCTGTCAAGTTGATTTGAATTTATGGCAACCCTTCCAGGGTTTCCTAGGCATAGAATACCTACAAGTGGTTTACCACTCTCTTTTTCTGGGGAGCACTATGGAACTGTGCATCTTGCCCAAGGCTAAACATTAAGCTATTCAGCCAGCTACTTACCTTGATACAAGATGCTAATATTGGAATAATGCCCTGGGGCAGAAGTTGCTTCTTCACTGCCTTCATCTCGACCACCAGGTTCCCCAGAGTGTACAAACACAATTCCTGAAACACATTGGGGGAAATTGTGTCCTGCAGTTACTATTCTGTAACTGCAACTTCTTGTACAGTGCCTGCTAATAACTGTAGAGAACAGAACTATCTCCACTACAGCACAGAGTAGCCAGGAAGATTTGGGATTGCAAAAATGTATGCTCCATAAGCACGAAGAATATAGGCAGAGCAAGCATACAATTCGTTGCAGCAACAAAAATGCTGTTGTTTTCATTTTTAAATTGTTGTAAGTACAATGGCCTTTTGACATGTATGTTTAATTGCATTTGTAGTTATTAAAATCTATGCAGTTGTCATCTTCCTTATCATTCTCTAAGCAACCTTGGGACACTGAGTTGGGAGAAAGATGGGATATAAATAGACACGGAATATTCATATTTTTATCCCTGGGGATAAAAATATGAATGTCAGCACCACAGGTGTCTGGGAAGCCCAATCCCTCCCCCCACACACACACCTCAACCGGCAGGTCCAATTATTTGTTGCCATGCTGTGCGTGTGGCCAACATCATGCTCACAGTGAAAGTTGCTCAGCCGGTGCTTCCCTGTTTCCTTGCAGAGCCGACCACTTAACAGCAGAGCAGAGAGACTTGCTATCCTGCCTCCTTGCCTGAGTGGTCAGCTGCAGGGGGGGGGGCAGAGAAGTGCTGGCTGGGCTCCTTCCACAATTGGTGTGACGAGAATGACACAGGCCAGCTGCACTGCACAGCAACTGGTAATTGGACCTGCCAGTTCTGTGGGGAGGGACTAGACTTCCCAAGCACCCATGGTGCCGATATTTGTATTCGTATCCCCAGGGACACGAATACAAATATCCCATGTCTAGATATAAATAAAATATAAAGTGAATCGATGTTCCATCTTAAACTCAAGGGTACAGTATGCTGGAAAATATCATTTCCAAAGTGCCATGTTGTGTGTATGAAATTAGATATGGATAATGGGGCACATTTCAGCATCCTGTTGCTGACCAGCTGCAAGAACAATTAGGAAGTAGGGGTTTGGATCTTACAATGAGGGCTATACTGTGTCCAGAGAGATAGGTGAGGAGATAGGAGGTTGCTGGCAAGCATGCCGCAGCTACATCAGGGTCACTGGAGTGCGACAGTTCATGTAAACAGTGAGCAGCATCCATCTGCAGATCTGGCAGATTGCTGGTGAAGAGGCCAATCAGCACACGCATACTGCCCTCAAGCCTACAAAGTGAACAGAAGACAATGATGCCATCTCCTGCTGTGTGACATACATTTTCTTCTTTGCTATACCCCAGCACATGGGTTGTTAAAACGTATCCTGGATACTGGAAGTTTAAAGAGGCTATTTCAGTTGAATAGTACTTAACGAACTTGAACCAAAACAAAAACTAACTGTACTTATCCCCCATTCCACTGCCTTATCTAAACCCAAACTGGAACTCAATACAAATTTATTTCAAGTTTTCAGCTGCGTGACTGGAGAAATGCACACATTTCTTTCCTCACCAATAAGTTTGGGTATTTATTCCGAACTAGCAGTCAATTAAAAAATTAAAGAGACAATATAAACACTGATCCCACACATGGAATATAATGGAAGTACAAATTCAACAACTAGGATTTTTCTATATCCTGGGGGGGGAGGGGAATATACATATCCTTCTCTACACTGTGTTTTCCTCAAGGCAGATGACAACAAGATGGAGAAAAGCTGTAAGACACACAAGTTTGTCAGACTAAAAGAGGAAGGGTATTTCTTTCCACTGCAGAGAACTGTCCTCTATGTTGTGGTCATTAGACATTCTATGAAGCAACTAAAGTTGCTGATGATTTTTTACTTATATAAGTGAATGGGAAAATTCTCTAATGGCTATCATCTAACATCACCCTCATAGACATCTAATACAAACTTGGCTACCCAGAGATATGGGTAGGCCTGTTTCCACTGAAGCTTGGTTATTCCTATACCAGACAATAATATACATAACTTCTAAGTTGTTCCATTTACTTTGCCCCAAACTAGTACCATCTCCCAGGCTAGGTGTCAGTAGCAGATTATACATTTGCTAACCTGATGAATGTCTGCTGGTTGTCTCTGAGCCGCAGCGCTCGTCGAAGCAGACGCAGGGATGTCACTCTCTCTTCCGTTCCTTTCTGGACCTTTTTCAGCAGCTGCAAAATCTGCCCATGAACAATTGTGAATCACTGACAGCCTTGCAAAGAAAACAAAGAGATGGAGGCTATCTTGCTGTGTAGAGCAGTGGACGAGCAATCTTAACATCTCAGGAAATGACCTGAAAGTATTGGATGTAATTCTCTTTGCCAAGCAAAGCAACCTGAAATTTTGAAGGGCGGTTGTGACGTGTGCCATGACGTCACCTGCCTGTCTTGGCTAAGGCTGGAGTTTCCTAGCCTATGGCAGGGCAGGAGGTGGGTCTTAAAGGGGTGGAGTTTTTGTATATAAGGGGGGAGTGCAAAGAGGGGACAGGTAGTTGGGGAGTTGGAGAGAGAGATAGAGGGCTGAGAGAGGGCTTGAAAGAAGATCTGTAGACAGGGTTAGATATAGGTTAGGTAATTGAGTAATTGAGTGTTAAGTAACAAAGAACTGTGCAGGGTTAAGGTCTGAGAAATATAGTGTGACAAGTGATTCTTTTACTCAGTGATTTCCATTTTATTTTTGTATTCAATAAATCATCATTTTTATTTTGAAATCCATACTAAGTCTGAAGTGTCAGGTTTATGTGTGGTTGGTGGCAGCGAAGTTGTGTGTGTGTGTGTGAAGGTCTTGCTGTGTAGAGCAGTGGACGAGCAATCTTAACATCTCAGGAAATGACCTGAAAGTATTGGATGTAATTCTCTTTGCCAAGCAAAGCAACCTGAAATTTTGAAGGGCGGTTATAAAGGAACTCAGAGAGTGATTTAAGTTTATGGAGGTGTCATTGGAGACCAAGCCCAAGGTGATCTATACTATGGCAGCCCCAGTTCCTATGTACAGATGTGAAAGCTGCACAATGAAGAAAGCTGACAGGAAAAAATCCAACTCATCGGAAATCGAGTGTTGGAAGGAAATTTTATGGATACCAAGAACCAGCAGAAAGAGGAATAAATCTAAAACAAATCAATCCTAAACTCTCACTGGAAGCTAAAAGACTAATCTAGATACATCATGAGAAGAGTCACTGGAAAAAGGAAAAAAAATGCTATAAAATTTTGAAAGCTGGAGTCAAAGAGAAAGATTTGACATGGTATGGGCTGACTCAAAAGAAGTCATGGCCTTTATTTGTAAGATCTGAGCAAATTAAGTGAGATGTTTAAAGAGTGGTTTTACAAGTTCAATTTCCTCCCAATGAGTTTCCATGGCTGAGGAGGGATTGACACACTGGCCTCCAGAGTCCTAGTCCATCACTCTATCCACTACACTACACTGGGTAATCAGCAGGAACGTTAGAAGAATCATTAACTGATAAGGTTGCTATAAATAGGGAACAACTTAACAGCACAATAACAACATGTGGCAACCATACATAGGCATTTTATGTTCACCTCATGAAAATAAATTTCTCTAGCTTCCTCATCAAACCTTGCATCAAAGTATTATTCATGGGCATTTCCTTCCTATGGCTGGATTGATCTAGAAAAAAGCAAGCCAAAGAATCAATCATATGTTCTCAAGTCAATTCTGACTTATGACAACCCTTTCTATGTAGAGAGTACTCAGAAGTGGTTTATCATTCCCTTCTTCTGGGGATGTCCTGAAGCTGTGCAGCTTGCCCGAGGCCACACATGCTGGCTCTACTTGCAGGCAAAAGAAACGGCCGGCACAAAACTGTCTAGTGTACAGGATCCTATATTTCACAAAAGAACATGGCTCCTCATTGTAAGGAAGACATTGTAAAATAATTCCAGGGATACATACAAAAACTATTCATTCATAGCATGGTACTCTAAAATGGGAAAAATCTGCCTACTGACAAATTATAGAAAGGAGACCTATCTGTGTGGTACAACAGCATAAATAATACAAACTGAGCTTATTTTGTTAAGTGATCAGTTCTGTATCATTTAAAAGGAAACAATTAAATAGATGAGTTGACTCAAGCCACTGCTCAACCAGAAGTACTAGTTATCTCCAAACAAATCAAGAGACTGTGGGATCAAATGCACTGCAGTGAATCCCAGCTGACTTAGAACAGTGAGCTTCCTACCTCTTCTTCAGAGAAAAGAGCTGCTGTCTCAGCATCATTTCTGACTTGCTCTTCCTCTGTCAAGGTGTCCTCATGTAAAAGCCGCTTACTGGTCAACTGCTGCAGCCTTCGTGCACTCCTCAAGGCTAGAACAAAGCAACATCCTGTCAACAAGTTGCCCTAGTCAAACCACACATGCACACACAAACACCACAGAATATCTGGTTTAACATTGTGAATGTAAAATCTTACAGGAAAGGCCTGGGCTCTTAAAAGCCTAGGGTTAGAAAGACAGTGATGGCGAGAAACAGAAATGATACTGTTCCCCAGGGAGCAGGATTCGGGCTCTAATTACATTGATTTAGGTTAATGTGTGTTATGGAGAACCGAAAAGGACATTTCTCTTAATGTTATTATGGGGTGCATCTGTCTTTATATCTGATTTTATATTTAGGGTTCTGTGGTTGTAGCGAATGCAGCTGCAATGCTCTTTGTCCTAGCAAGGCAACAAACTTGTATCTGGACTAGGATAAAAGAGGTACTGAGGGACAATTCTCCAGTCAACTCCTACAATAGTGCCTTGCTCGTCCACAGAATTCATGAGACAAATATAAATAGTATCCAGCATGTGGTATGTTGCTGATATTCTTGTTGTGTTTTAAAAATGCAAATCTTTGCAACGGTTTATTTGTTTAAATTATATGCTGCCCAATTAGTGAATTCACACTGCTCTGGGTAGCGTACATACAAGCAAAAACCTACAAACACCACCCACTTCATTCCCATAATACTACTACCAAAATAGTGCTATAACTGACTTGAGCGCTATAATCTACAGAAACTCTAAAAATCATGTTAAAATTAACATCATTTGATGGTATGACACTTGGCTGTCTTATATAACTCTGTCTTGAGTAGTTCAAAATTAACATCATTTGATGGTATGACACTCTTAAAGGCTGTCTTATATAACTCTGTCTTGAGCAGTTTCTTGAATATTGGGAGAGATGAAGCCTGGCACACCTTAAGAGACATTTTGTTTCATAAAGTGGGTATCTATTGGGTTTCTCTCTCTCTCCTGAGTCAAAGCAGTGTCCAAGTTCAAAAAGTTTTCAATCCAATTACAAAGAAGAAAGCCTCATACAAACCTGATTCACGTTCTCTCCTCCAGGCTCGCAGGTCCTCAGCATTGCAACTTCTGTAGCGACTTCTCTTCCAATCCCTTGCACAAGGAATTCCAGCTGACGCAGCAACAGTTGCTGCCCCAGAAACTGGGTCAGACTGAAGAGAAAGCATGACTGCTGCTCCAAGCCTGTGCTACTCTATCTAGTTTGGGCAGCTACTGTAGCAACATGTACTTAGGATTTCCTATATGGGATAGGACTGTTTTGTAGAGAGCCAGCTATCAACTTCAACAGGTGTCCCGGCATCTGCACACACATCAGTGTCTTCAGCCACCAAATATTACACTATCCTCAGCAGAAGCCACCAAGCCCAGTCTGCCTTTGTTGTCAACTTTGAAGTTTCTGCAAAAAATAAAAACAGCGGCTGCAAACAGATGTGCTGTGAGGACAAGCATGAAGAGGTTCTGAGTCCCACAGGTGAGAACCTCCAAGCCCCCACAACAGTCACTGAGGCCTTAGTTACATCACACCTTGGTTACTGCAATGTGCTGTGCATGGGGCTACCCTTGAAGAGATTCTGTGATCTTCAATCAGTGCAAAATAGGGCAGCCAAGTTGCTAACTGGCACACTGTATCTGGACCACATGACCCCAATATTGAAAGACCTGCACTATTTGCCGTTTGCTGGGCTGAATTCAAGATGTTGATTTTAACCTTTGGGCCTGGTAATCTAATGGGACTGCTTATCTCCTTAAGAGTCTGTTTGAACATAAGATCTTCAGGAAGGTTCCTCTAAAGAATACCAATAGTTTCAGAGGCCCGTCCAACAGACACACAGGATTCTCCTCTGTGGCTTCTAGACTACGGAATGCACTCTTTTCGCAAGTGCAATGTTTTCACTCTGATTTTGAGAAGGCAAATAAAAAAACATCTTTTTTGACTGGCATATGTCTAACCTGCCCTACAGTGTTATTTTTAATCTATATTCCTGCAGCGTTTAATGTTTTTAATACATTTGCTTGATTTTAATGGTTTTACTGTGAGGCAGATTTGCATGATTTTATTATTTTCAAAAAGCTAAATGTGGTTTTCTTTTTCAATAGTTTATAAGCCACTTTAAGTGCTACCTTTTAATGAAAAGGAGGGGTATGGATGTAATAAATATATAACAAATATACTGCTTTAAAAATGGTCCTGTTTTTTCTCTTCTTCCCCTTTCTCTTTCTTCATTGCAGTGGCATCATCCCTGTGAAAGTAGTGAGACGTTTCTTCCATTTTCTGTCTTGAACTTTTAAGAGTAAAGCTGGCACACTACAGAGAAAGCAACAGCTGCACCTCAGATCTGCACTTCTGGGAAGAACCTCTGACCTAATGAGGAGGAAAGGCAGCCTTCTCAACGTTATTCGACTGCAACTCCCATCATCTTTAGTCAGCACAGCTAACGGTGATGGATCATGGGAGTTCATCCATTCATTTTATTTTAACTGCTCCTTTCTCCCAATAGATGGACTCAAGGCGGCGTACTAAACATTGAAAAGACAAAGGCAGCTACAAATACAATAAATTACTTCATTTAAGAAGTTAGCTTAACATAGTACAGTATAATATCAAGGCAATCCACAATGTGGAGGGCGCCACGTTCCCCCTCGGTCGGTGCCCTGCGCCTTCTGCCTGGTTCCAGGGCTACTTTTTTTTGGGGGGGGGGGAATCAGGAGGCCCGCTTCGCCTTTCGAAACCGTCCAAAAGAGCCAGAGGAAGAAAGGGCTGCCTGGGGAGGAGAAGGAGCAATGGGACCAGGGAGGAAGACCGAGGGCGGGAAACGGGGAAAAGGAGAGAAAGCCAGAAAATTGAGGGGGGGGGGGGGGGGAGGAGAAGAGAGAGAGAAGATAAGGAGGAGGGAGTGCCTCGTCCTCCCGGGCTATCGGCTTTAGTAGCTTCACTGCCCAAGTCGGGGGAATCCCTCTCTCTCTGCCGCTACCTTTTTTGTTTCTCTTGCAGTCACGGCTACGCTAAAAATCTCGAATTTCTCCACTGCTCTTTACGGGCAGGTCTTCTGGGGGGGGGCGAAAGTACACTCCTGACGCGTCCCTACTGCCCCCGTAACAGAAAAAGAGTCCGGATTTCGTGCCTCTATGGTTCCCCTTTCATAAGCACTTCTCTCGTGCTGGACCGGAGTTCCCTTCCCGCGTCCTTCCCCCCCAAGAGGAGACGTAACGTCCGGGGCGCCGGGAAAATGGCCTCAGACCTTTCAATGCGCAGGCGCTTCGCCTCAAGAGGCGGGACGGGGGAAGGTGGGGGTTTCCGCGCGGCGCCGGAGGAGAGTGACGGGAAGAAGCGCCTCCTTCTTTCTCTCTCTCTCTCTCTCTCTCTTCCCACCCCTCTCCGTCTTCCGTCTTTGGAGACGGGCCCGCTCTGCAGCCTTTCTCTTCGCCGAAGCGCGTCACTCGCTGCGCCTGCGCGGAGGGCGATCTTTGGTTAAAGCTGTTGATGGCGGTTTGCCGGCCAATGGTTTTATCAGCCGCTGCCCACTTACGGGCAGCGTTGGCAGGAGGTCCTCCGAGCCTCTGCCTTCTAGTGCTGTGCCCTCCTTTCGTCTCTCCTCTTCCCCCACCTCCCATTTCCGATTCGCTCCTCCGCCGGCGCTATCGCATTTCCCTCTTTTTCTTTCTTTTCGTATTCCCAGCTCTCCTTCCCTGGAGCAGGCGGTGCCGTCTTTCCCTGTTTAGAAAGAGCCAGGATGTGTATCGAAAAAGAAAAACTGGGGGGGGGGGGGGTTCTTAGCACAACAATACACCTACGACAAGACACACTAATCACCCAGCTACAGAAAAAGACAAAAGCCTATCTCACAGCCATAAATACTGCACTCCCAAGCAAACTACACCAGAGCACAGAGTGCTGTCCTCTGAAGATGCCGGCCACAGAGACTGGCGAAAGGTTAAGAAGAACAACCTTCAGAACACGGCCAAAGAGCCCGAAAAACCCACAACAGCCATCAGTTTATAATCCGTTACTTCAGGCACATGGAGTACAATAGGAAGGCTACAGTCGTGCACACTGGTATGGGGGTAAGAATGTTGCTACGTGCCTGCCCAAGGAATCGTTTACCATTGCAGTGAGTGTCTGTGGCCAAGCGGAATTTGAACCTAGGATTCCTGAACACACACACACACACCGTTCTCTTATCAGTTACACAGGCTAGCTCTCCATAGGGATTGGGGTGGGTTGGGGACAAATGAAAATTGCTGGAGACCCGGTGGACACCCTACATCTTGCTTTCTTTAGAGCAGGCGGAGCCGATCGCGACAAAACCGGAGGAGGTGTGCCTGGTGGATGAAGAGGGGGAGGAGTTAGATCTCATCTTGTGGGAGGAGATAAAAGGGACAGATAGCGCGCGCGTTTTCAACCTTTGGACAGATGTCAACCCAGAGAGGACCAGAGACCGGGGGGTCCAGACAGAGCCCATGCTCGGGATCGGAGCCTCACCATAGCTCGCAGAAGGTTTCCCTAACATAGCGACCGGAGGAGGTTTGCTTCCAGATCCCATTGCATCGGGGGTGCGGGGGAAGTTGATAGAATCGCTGGAATGGACTGTGTCGGTATATCCCCGTAATCTACCAGGTGGGGGACGGAGGGTGATTCGGCCCGGTCCTGAATTCCAGAAGAAACCTCCTGAGGGAGACTGGGCAAGGCATCCATGTTGCGGCACGGTGTGTGCAGTGAGGAGTGCCCCCCTCCGTCCCATGATGGATCGAGAGAAGTTTGGGCCGGCACCCTTTTAGGTCAGGCGACTGGAATGTGGGGTACTAAACCCAAACATTATCATTTGTTAAATGACAGTTATTTACAGGACCCGTTTGATCCTGTGGAATTAAGTTGTGTAACTAATAAACTTGTTGATGTTGAAACCGATGAAGAGCCTCCTTGTCTCTTTCCTGCCTTTACGACGATGGCTCCCCCGGGCTCAGAAGAACTCCGTTACAGTATCTCATTAATTTTATGACGTCTTTAGGGCACACATGCCATCTAGGAACTGTTTATGATACAATATTGGCTGATACTGATTTTTAAGTTTGAATAGTCCATATTTTTGCTCATGATTCTTCTGATACATTAATATTTAAGATTGTTTCCCAAACTGTCTTAACTCTCATATAATTACCATACTCCTTATTAACAGTGTTTTTATAAATTACTGAGATTAATCTTTTTTAATTAAAATAATATTTTATACAGGTGTTCCCAGTTGTTCTTGGATTAAAACTCCCAAAAATCCTGGGTAGCATAGCTAGTGGTGAAGGTTTCTGGAGTTTTAGCCCAAGAATATAGCTCTGTGGTGTAGGTCTATGGCTGTGGAGCTAGAGGTTAGAAGTTCGATTTCCCCCTAGATTGAAGAGCTAGGGGAACCAGGACTGGAGTCGAATGGGACTCTGATAATAGAAGCTTGTTCAGTTTTAGAAGGAGGAATAAATCTTTGGGAGTAACGGACAGTGAATCATCAGGGAGATGAACGTAATCGAATAGACTGAAGAGCTAGGAAAATCAGGACTGGAGTTTTGACGGATTACAACGATATCTTTTGGAGAGACTGGCTTGGGGAGTATTGAAGCAGTCATACATTTCAACAAATCTTTTTTTCTTTCTGCTTTCCTCACCTCTTAACCATTTCAACAGCCAAGTCCTGGAAGATTTCAATCTTGTCTTCTTCATATAACTCCTTTATGTTTAATGCAGTGCTAATTCCACTGTACAACAAATGAACCTTACAACAATATCTTGTTGCTATGTTTCTTGCTTAGGATCCACTCTTCAAATCCGGTCAAAGGTTTTGAACCCTTTCTAGTGCTATATCTCTCAAGTCTTCCCTTCTTTCACCCTCTTTAAAATTTCTTATACACAAGTTTTGATGGTGATTACAATTTTTTATCCTCAGTTTTATCTCTCAATATTCTTTATTTGTTTTCCATATTTCAGTTTTAGTTTGCTAATGCGGGGCTAGTTCAAAAGCATAATTAGCAGTTTTCTGTACTTTAATGTTTGCCTTCATTTCCGCTAGTGCTTCTTATACCCACAATAAGGGAATTTAAAACTTGCACAGCAGGGTTGCGCAGCATGCTATAAGTGGCCCCTGTATCCACCAAAAGCCCACCCCCAGGGGTCAGTTTCCATCCTTCCGAAGGGCACTTCAGGCCCAACGTTGTGCTGAGGCGAAAGCAGGAGGGGGCTGTCAAACAGCTGCCAAAAAGGGGCGGTTTGTCATTTCATTCACTTATCAGCCTTCTTCAGCTCCTTTCCATCATCTGTAACCTTCCTGATCCTTCTCCTTCCCTTTACTCCTTTCTTTCTTTCCTCTTTCTTTCCTCTCTTTTTCTGTCATTCTTTCTGTTTCCTTCTTCCTTCTGCCTGTCTGTCTTTTTCTTTCTCTCACTTTCTTTTACTTTCTTGTAACCTGCTTCCTCATCTCTCTCTCTCTCTATTTCTTTCTGTAAATCTACCAAATATCTTACAATATATTTAATCCTTCCCTTCTCTCTCTATCTGTAGGTGTCCTTTCTTATCTCCTTCCACTGTTACTCTCCATCTCTTGCGCTGATCTTTTCCTCTGCTTGTTCCAACAATTCCTTACTGCCTGTTCTCCTCCCATCTTGCTACCCTCTCGTTGCTCCATTTCTCTGCCTCCCACTCATGGGGTTCCTTTGTGGGGAGGGGAAGCAAGTGACACCACACCCCGCATCAGGTCAGTATGGGCGTCAGCATTGGCATGGCTCATGTGCCCACAGAGAGGGCTCTGTGTGCCAGCTCTGGCATGCCTGCCATAGGTTCGCCAGTTGGGGAAGCGATTGATCACTTCCTGAAAAATTGCAAGCCACTGTTCGGCCGTCTGAGGAAGTGAATCAGCAGTTTCTTCCTGCTCCTTCCCTCTGACTCATCTGGTGGCGAAGTTTCCCCCATGTAGAGATAGAGAGTGCAGGGGCTCTCCTCGGAGCTAGGAAACTCTCAGGGAAAGGTGGCAGTACTTCTGCCTCTGTGGGAAATAAATAGCGGGGAGGAAAATCATCTTCCTCAGCTTTAGAATTAGATTCTAGTTATTTCACTGCATTTAAAATTGTCACAAACCTCTGCAGAAGGCTAGTGAGGTAAATCTTGATCCAGGTTATAAATGGGTCAGGTTAACATACAACGGTTCCTCAGTTTCCTTTTTAGTAATTTATTACTTGTTTGGAGTTTGTAAAACTTCCTGTTCCCTAATATGCATTGCAGTGAAGCAATCCTATTAGGATCACTTACAGCTGCTATGCTAATTTCCCCATGTTATTCATTTACTCAGTTTTACTCTCATGTAACAGCCTGTTCTGTTGAATAGCTTATGCAGATTTCTCGGCTCTGGTCACTTACTGACAATCTAGAGTTGGAGCTGGCCTGGCCCTCTGCTTTCAGTGCCATTGCCCAATATGATCCCATGCAAACACATTTCTCATGTGGTGCAAGCTGGTTCTGACCATCTCCCTAGTGCAGGGGTGGGCAATTAATTTCTATAGGGGGGCACATGAAAAATCTGAACTGTGTTCGGAGTGCCGAACCAACTTTACTTAAAAATAAAATGAAACAGTGATGTTAATGATTTTTTTATTTTAAACTTGCTAATCTTCACAAATACTAAAGAGTTTTTTTTTTGCGGTATGTTAAAGATAAGCAACTGATCAACTTTAGACAAAAAGCTATAAATGGTTTTGAGGTCCGGCAGGCCAGACAGGAGAGGCTCGCAGGCCATATGTGGCTCTCGGGCTGCACTTTGCCCAGGTCTGCCCTAGTGGGAGGATAGAAATGCATACTGGGCTCTCACACAATCACTCGTCCCTGTGGACCGCTCTTGCATACCAGGATGAAAATCATACACACACAATTCAATTGCCTGTTAATACTCACATCCTGAAGCAGATCCTCTAAAGTTGCTGCTGCACTCAGTTTATTTCCCTTCATAACAGATAATCCAAACAGATAAAGCCATTTGTAGATTATTTTCCTCTCCCGAAGAACTTGTGTATATCTCCTCTGTTGTTTGCATTTAAATATTATCTCTCCAGCAAGATTTTGAAGAAGTTCCACTTTTCCCCCTTCATATATACGTTAGCTCCTGTAATTTATTCAAAGTACGGAAAATATTTGTATTTATTGTCAATGAGACAAATCTCACCAGTATGTCTCTCCTTCAGCT